ACTGAGCCACCCAGGCGCCCCTTTATTTTTATTTTTAATGTTTTATTTATTTTTGAGAGAGAGAGACAGAGAGAGAGAGAGAGAGGGAATGAACCCCAAGGAGGCTCTGCGCTAGGGGCTTANATGTTTTATTTATTTTTGAGAGAGAGAGACAGAGAGAGAGAGAGACACACACACACACACAGCGTGAGCAGGGGAGGGTCAGAGAGAGAGGGAGACACAGAATCTGAAACAGGAGAACTTATCAAACTTAACACCCAAAAAACAAATAATCCAGTGAAGAAATGGGCTAAAGACATGAACAGACACTTCTCCAAAGAAGACATCCAGATGGCCAACTAACACATGAAACGATGCTCAACATCACTCATCATCAGGGAAATATAAATCAAAACCACAATGAAATACCACCTCACACCTGTCAGAATGGCTAACATCAACAGCTCAGGCAGCAACAAATGCCGGTGAGCATGTGCAGAAAGAGGATCTCTTTTGCACTGCTGGTGGGAATGCAAATTGGTGCAGCCGCTCTGGAAAACAGTATGGAGTTTCCTCAAAAAATTAAAAATAGAATCTAGCAATTACAGTACTAGATATTTATCTAAGGGATACAGGTGTGCTGTTTCAAAGTGCATATGTACCCCAATGTTTATAGCAGTGCTATTGACAATAGCCAAAGTATGGAAAGAGCCCAAATGTCCATCGACAGACGAATGGATAAAGATGTGGTATATAGATACAATGGAGCATTACACAGCAATCAAAAAGAATGAAATCCTGCCATTTGCAACTACATGGATGGAACTGGAGGGTATTTTGCTTAGTGAAATTAGTCATTCAGTGAAAGACAAATACATGACTTCACTCACATGAGGACTTTAAGATACAAAACAGATGAACATGAGGGAAAGGAAGCAAAAATAATAAAAAACAGGAGAGGGGCAAAACATAAGAGACTCTTAAATATAGAGAACAAATAGAGGGTGGCTGGAGGGGTTGTAGGAGCGGGTATGAGCTGAATGGGTAAGGGGCAGTAAGGAATCTACTCCTGAAATCATTGTTGTACTATATGCTAACCTGGATGTAAATTAAAAAATAAATTATTAATAAAAAACTAAAAACTTCTTCCGCAAAAAAATTCAGATTTGCAAAAAAACAGCTAGAAAACAAAATGGTAATAAATGCATGCTTATCAATAATTATTTTAAATGTAAATGGATTAAATGCTCCAATCAAAAGACAGAGTAGTTGAAAGGATAAAAATATAAGACCCATCTATATATGGCCTACAAGAGACACACTGTAGAAGTAAGGTCATACAGAAAATAAAAGTGCAGGAATGAATAAAGATATTCTATGCAAACAGAAGCCAAAGGAAGCTGGGCAGCTATACTTTTGTCAGACAAAATAGACTTTAACACAAAGACTGTAATAAGAGACAAAGAACAGAAGGTCAATACATGAGGATAAAGGGATCACTGCAGGAGGAAGAAACATTTGTAAATATTTATGCACCCAACAGAAGAGCACCTAAATACATAAAGCAAATGTCAGGAGACCTAAAGGCAGACATAGATAGCAATACAATAATAGTAGGGGACTTTAATGTCTCACTCACATCAATGGATAGATCATCTAGATAGAAAATTAATAAGGAAACACAGCCCTAAGTGGCATGTCACACCAGACGGGCTTAACAGTTATTTACAGAATATTCCATCCAAAAGCAAGAGAATACATTCTTCTCAAGTGCACATGGAACATTTTCTAAGATATATCATATGTTAGGCCACAAAACAAGTATTAATAAATCTAGACTAAAATCATATCAAGCATCTATTCCAACTACAACAGTATGGAACTAGAAATTATTTACATGAAAAAAATGGAAAATTCACAAAGACATGGAGATTAAACAACATACTACTGAACAGCCAATGGGTCAGAGAAGAACTCAAAAGAAAAATAAAAAAATACCTTGAGACAAACAAAAATGTAAATGTAACATCCCAAAATTTATGAGATACAGCAAAAACAATTCTAAGAGGGAAGTTCACAGTGCTAAATGTTTACCTGAAGAAACAAAGTCTCAAATAAACAACCTAACACTACACCTCAAGGAACTAGCAGGAAAAAAGAACTGAAGGCCAAAGTTAATAGAAGAAAGCAAATAACAAAGATTAGAACAGAAATCAAACAGACTAAAATAATAAAAGGAAAAATTAATGAAATTAAGAACTAGTTCTTTGAAAAGACAAATAAAATTGGCAAACCTTTAGCTACACTCACCAAGAAACGAGAGGATACAGATAAAATCAGAAATGAAAGAGATGTTACAAACGATACCACAGAAACACAAAGGATCATAAGAGACTACTATGAACAATTATATGCCAACAAACTGGACAACCTAGAAGAAATGGATAAATTCCTAAAACATGCAACCTACCAAGACTGAATCATGACGAAACAGAAAATGTAACTAACGTCAACTATACATCAATTAAAAAAAAAATCAGTTTGCTTTTTAAGAACTGCAATGTCAGGGATAAAAATACTTTCGCTGCTGGAACAGACTGCTCCCCCCATCTTCTACTTGGAATGTCACTGGTTCAGACAAAGCAAACTGAAGGAATTTCCAACAAGTCTTTATTAAAGAAACTCTTAAGACTGTATTTCAGAAAAAAAAAATAAATAAAAAAAAATTAAAAAAAAAGACTATTTCAGAAGAAAATGATAAAAGAAAAAATCTCAGAGATACAAGAAAATGTGAAAAAATATGTAAACATAGATAAACCAAAGTAAACACTGACTGCATTGAACAATAATAATATCCAACTGAAGAGGAATTAAAAAAACCAAATTCTCAAAAATTAAAAACAGAACTACCATATGATGCAGCAATTCCACTCCTGGGTACTTATCTGCAGAAAATGAAAACACTAACTCAAAAAGACATATGCACCCCCATTTTCACTGCAGCATTATTTACAATAATCAAGATACAGAAACAACCTAAGTGCCTGATGAATAAGTGAGTAAAGAAAATGGTGTGTAAACACACATACACAGTGGAATATTATTCAGCCACAAAAATGAATGACATCTTGCCAAACACTATACCATCTCACTGATATGTGGAATCTAAAAAAACAAAAACAGGGGTGCATGGGTGGCTCAATCGGTTAAGCATCTCATTTTGCCTCACGTCGTGATCTCCCATTTCATGAGTTCGGGCCTTGCCTCAGACTCTGTGCTGACAGCTCAGAGTCTGGAGCCTGCTTCAGGTTCTGTGTCTCCCTCTCTCACTCCCCCCTCCCACTCTCGCTCTCTCAAAAATAAATAAAAAACATTAAAAACAACAACAACAAACTCATAGATACAAAGAACAGACTGGTTGCCAGTAGCAGGTGGGCAAAGTAGGTGAGGTCAAAAGGTACAAACTTCCAGTTATAAAATCAGTATGTCATGGGCATATAATGTACATCATGGTGACTATAATTAATAATACTGTATTGCATATTTGAAAGCTGTTAAAAGAGAAGATCTTAAAAGTTATCATAAAAAGAGAACATTTTGTAACTATGTATGGCGATGGATGTTACCTAGATTTATTGTAGTGATCATTTCACAATATATGCAAATGTTGGATCATTATGTTGTATACCTGAAACTAATATGCTATATGTCAATTATACCTCAATAAAAAAAGAAAGAAAGTCTGAGGGCTATTAAACATATGTTCCAAATTTGATTGACTTCCTATGGCCCTGTGAAGAAGACTATTTGACACCATGATTTCCTGTGTACACAGAGGTGTGACTGTGCTTTTGTGATCTTATTGTAACCCTTCATGTAGAAAGTTCAGTATAGAACTGCTAATATTTGGTAATCTTCTCTATTTCTCAGGGGGAAAATCAACCATAGAATGAAAATGCTGGACATCAATAACTTAAAAAAAAAAAAAAAAAGGACAGTGACAGTAGTTCAATTGTTCTAGAGACTGTGATTAGTTTCAGATTTTTTAAGTACAAATGTTAAATACAGTAACACTAGAAGAACAGATTCTAACTTTTAATAGACGTAAAAATAAACTAACTAAATTACAAATTCATGTTACCTCACCCTTAACTTGTCCCTTATTATGGCCTGACAATCCTTTCCTTCATCTGCTGATTCTATCACATTTCTTACAGTCACAATCCACAGCCTTTTCAAACACAGCTCCTCCTTTAATACCTCCATGCTCTAAAATAACAGTCCCTACAATCTCACTAAGAAATGTAAAGCTAGGGGCGCCTGGGTGGCTTAGTCGGTTAAGCGTCCAACTTTCGCTTAGGTCATGATCTCGCGGTTCGTGGGTTCGAGCCCTGCGTTGGGCTCTGTGCTGACTGCCAGCTCAGAGCCTGGAGCCTCTTTCGGTCTGTGACTCCCTCTCTCTCTGACCCTCCCCTGCTCACACTGTCTCTCTCTCTCTCTCCTAGAAATAAATAAAAAATATTAAAAAAAAAAAAAAAGAAATGTAAAGCTATCGGTACATCCTCATTTGCACTATGTTAATAGTGTCAGTCTTGCTGTAATAACTGAGCACCTTCTCTCTCTATTCTGATAGGCTCGCTTAATTTGCCTCCTACAAAATGCTCTTAGTTCTGTTTCACCCTAAAATATCCTCTCAATTCTGCTGCCCCTTTATAAATTAAGGCCTTCTTTCTTTGTTTTTTATTCTGAATTACATATTTTTTCTTCCAACATGTCACAGCTAGCAGGCTCAGAATAGGTATGCTCATAGGAGGTCTCAGGTCTCATAAAGCAAAGACTGGGTATAATTCATTTTCTTTATATAGCATCTTATGTAGCATCATGAGCAAGTTCACATAGAATAAATACGTAAAACCTTTTTTATATATCTACTATTGCTTTCTTAGATTTGTGATAGTGAGAAAATTGTGACTAAATGTGACTAACATGTTAATCAGTGTTCAAATCTGAGAGCCTCTTACCCTTTTTCAGTTTCCGGACAGCCAACATACAATGACTAGGAGAGAGATCCCATATTCTTAAGGTTTTGTCATCACTTACAGTAGCACAGATAGGCAGATAAGGATGTGTAGCCAAACCCCACACCTCTCCTTCCATGTGTCCCTACAAAGAGAACATAGTTAAGATCCATTTGACCTAAAAATATGTGTATTTAAAAGAAAACTAAAGACAACACTTGATAATATATGATAGGATACTGAATAATAGATTGATCTACTAAAACATTTTTTATCTTTGGAAGACACCTTAAAATACCTCTGTAACAACTTTATCTTCACAATTACAATATAATCAAGTTACTATCAAAATTAGTTTAAAATCCTAAGATATTCACTGAATGAGGAGAAAAGGAACTCCCTGCCTTGGAATGTTAGTAACTGCCATACAGGAGAACTTCCTGCGTGCGAGAGGAAGGAGTGCTGCAGATCTGCTCCCCAGTGAAACTGTTACAATTAATAAAAAACAAAAAACTAAGGTCTCTGGAAATGGTTCTAAGGAGATATGACAAATGAAGAAACATTTAGTCATGAAAGTCTGCTAATATTTGGCAAGAACAATGAAAGTTTTTCAGTACTGAACAGAGACCCACTCCTTTCCTCCCTGTCTCCAACTCACTGACCTGAAAGCCCCACACCAGACTGATGTAAACAACACAGGGTATGGGTGCTCTCTCTCCTTCCCCTGCTCTGATGGGCTATTTTCCCAGAAGGGGCAGGTGACAGCATTTCTTACCGTGCCCTCAGCTGCCTGCTAACAGCTACATCCTTGATGAGTGCTGCACACAGGTGGGAACTCCCTTCTGCCCATCCCTATTTGAGATGGAGGCTCTACACTGGGGGTCATGCCACTAAGAATATTGGGGCTTCAGTTCAACCCAAGAAGATCTGAGGCTACTTCTCCCTACTATCCCTTCCCAAAATGGAGTACTCAGCTTCTAAACCAAGGGACACTCAAAAAAGAGGCATCACTATTACCACCCTCAACTTTAGAGCCTTGGATCAGAGATTGTGCCTGGAAGAAAAACCAAGCCATAAAATACCTCCTAATCTCTTCTCAAAGGAAGGGACAAGCCTAAAGGTGCTTTCAAAAACAATGAAGGTTGTGATGAAAGGCAACTGGGAGCTGACTGGTGCTCCTTAAACATACAGGCTACTCGGAAGGCTAGTGAGTTTGTTCAACAGAACCAGGGCAATCTCAGAGACTGCTGGGAGATACTGCTTAAAGTCAAAATAAATCTCAAACATTAACCTAGGAAAAGGTGTCTTCTTTAAGAAGCCTGACTTTATTCAATCTGTGGAGCAATTTGTGTTCTGGGGAAATGTTGAAAACAGTAGAGCAATCAGCCAGCAATTTAATGGAGTTCAGCAGTTGAGTGTAGCCAGGGAAAAGGACTATCAAAGAGGAAAGAACACTTCCCAAATCATTTTATGGAGCCAAAATGACCCTGATACCAAAACCACACCGACAACACTAGGAAACTATAGACCCATGATCCCTTATATACAGTATGTGGATGCTAAAATTAAAATCTTCAACTAAATACTAACAAACTGATTCCAACATATACAAAAGATTTCTACACCATAACCAAGGAGGGTTTATCTCAGGAATGCAAGGTTGGTTTAGTATATGTGCTGCCGAAGCAAGCACAAGGTTGTTTTAAAAGATAAAAACCAATTAATGTAATACACCATATCAACAGAATAAAAAAAAAATGACAATCTCTCAATATACAAAGAAAAAGCATTTGACAAATGTTTTTGACAAATGACACAATCTTTCATGATAAAAACTTGCATCAAACTAGGAACAGGAGTGTAATTCCTCAATCTGATAAAAGGCATCTATGAAAAATCTAGTTAATACTAAACTTAATGGTAAAGATTGAATGCTTCGTCCTTAAAATTAGAAAGACGACAAGGATGTCTGTTCTCACTACTTCTGATCTCCATTGCACTGAAGATTCCAGCCAGGATAATTAGCCATGAAAAAGAAACAACAGGCATCCCAACTGGAAGGGGAACAGTAAAACTGTATTTGCAATTCACATGATCTTATATATAAAAAATCCTAAAAATCCACTAAAAAACTGTTAGAATAAATGATCCATTATTTAAAAAATAACTATGAGACTTGTATACAAAAAATTAAACTGTTGAAAAAAGTTAAAGATGATCTAACTTAACGGAAAGATCCCATGTTCATGGATACAATGTAACATTGTTAAGAGGTGCTATTCCTCAAACTGACCCACACAATGCTGCTACAACACTGCTGTACATGTTTTTTTTTTTTTTAATTCATCTGGAACACACTTGTTATGTATATACATCTCCACATTTTTTTTTTAATTGCACTGTAGATAACATACAATGTTAATTTCAGGCGTACAATACAGGGATTCAACAGTTCCATATATTACTCAGTGCTCATCAAGATAAGTGTACTCTTAATCCCATCACTTATTTCACTCATTCCCTGCCCCCCCCCCACCTTCCCTCTGGTAACCCTCAGTTTGTTCTCTACAGTTAAGAGTCTGGATTTTCAATCTTTTTTCTCCCCCTCTGTTCATTTGTTTTGTTTCTTACGTTTCACACATGAGTGAAATCAGATGGTATTTGTCCTTCTCTGGTTTATTTTGTTTAGCATCATACTCTCTAGCTTTATCCATGTTGCCATCTTGCAAATGGTAAGATTTCATTTTTATGGCTGAATAATATTCCATAATATATATATGTATGCATGTATATATGTATGCATGTGTCTATACGTATGTGTATGTATACATATGCATATATATGTGCATATATGTATGTATGTGTGTATAGATATGTATATACACACATCTTTCTTATTCATTTATCAGTTAATAGATACTTGGGCAGCTTCCATAGTTTGGCTGTTGTAAATAATGCTGCAATAAAGACAGGGTGCATGTATCCCTTCAAATTAGTGTTTTTGTATTTTTGGGTAAATACCGTGTAGTGTGATTACTAGATCACAGGATAGTCCTATTTTTCATTTTTTGAGGAACCTCCATGCTATTTTCCAGAATGGCTGCACCAGTTTGCATTTCCACCAACAGTGCAGGAGTGTTCCTTTCTCTCCACAACTTTCTCAACACTTGTCATTTCTTGAGTTTTTGATTTTAGCCATTCTGACAGGTAGGAGGTGATATCTCACTGCAGTTTTGATTTCCATTTCCCTGTATATTCACACTTCCCCCACTTTTAATTACTATAGTTTTATCTTATTTCTAGCATGGAGTTTCTCAAAAAATTCTGGACTCTTTTTGAGTATTTTTTTCCTTCTAGATGGTTACTTTCCAGAATTTTTGAAAAATACCAGTTGGATTTGGTTTATGATCATACTGAATTCATAAGTTATTCATATACTTCATGTCTTCAGTAAAATTATATATTGATCTTAAATAGTTTTTTAGCTATATTTATTCCTGGCTATTGTATATTTTTCTTTGTGAATACTGTTTCTATGTCATATTTTCTAACTGGTTATCGCTAATATACAGAAATACTATTGATCTTTAGATGCTGATTTTGAATCTCACTTTACAGGATTCCTTAATTAGTTCTAATAATTTTTCAGTTTATTCTCTTGAATACCTAAAGTATAGGGTTATAATATCTGCAAATACTGACAGTGTTATCCATTTATTTCCAACAATTAGACCTATACTGCTCTTTTTTCTAGACTGGCTTAGACCTCAAACACAATGCTGGACCCATAATAATGATGAGACCTGACATCCCGGTCTTGTTTCTGAGGTTCAGGAGACAGAGAACAGATATCTGATATCTGAAGCTCTATAATAAATAGAAATAATAATAGGATAATATTTATCATTTCAAAATCTTACAATTATAAAGTTGTCTGTTTTTGAAAAGTTCTGTGGATTCACCTGTAAAAGTGTACTTGTGTTAATATTTTCCAAGAGATCATAAACATGTTAAACACGATGACTTTCATCATCTTTTTACTTCAAAGCAGTGTTATGTGGGGCTCCTGGTTGCCTCAGTCAGTTGAGAGTCTGACTCTTGATTTCAGTTTAGGTCATAATCTCACTGTCTGTGAGATCGAGCTCCGTGTCGAGCTGTGTGCTGACAGAGTAGAGCCTGCTTGGGATTCTCTCTCTGCTGCCTTGTCCCACTCCCATTCATGCTCTCTTTCTCTCAAAATAAATAAACTTAAAAATAAATTTTTAAAAGGAATATTATGTAACTGAAGTTAAAGAGTAAGACATCAAATTTTGATGGTAAATTTAATATAAAATGTTCTCTTATTTGCTTACAAATTCTCCTTGGTACATCAGGATATTATATGAACATTAAAGCACGTGCAGTGCTCTCCTCTAAGTGTGCTCTTTGATGTTTTAACAGAAGTGAGGTGGGGGGCGGGGAGTGGGGTTGAAGAAAAAATAATAAGAAAGAATATAATTATTTTTCAGAATAAAAAGTAAACTTAAAATTGGTGCTACCATCTAGAAATGCAGGAGGACAATTTTTCATTAGGGGAGATCCTACCTCACTTACTATGTTTTATAGTATTTATTGCTCTCCATATTTTTCAGAAAAATATAATACATATAGGAAATGTATATTTAGAGACACCTAGGTGGCTCAGTTGGTTAAGTGTCTGGCTTCAGCTCAGGTCATGATCTCACAGTTCGTGGGTTTGAGCCCCATGTCAGGCTCTGTGCTGACAGCCAGCTCAGAGCCTGGAGCCTGTTTCAGATTCTGTACTTCCCTCTCTCTGACCCTCCCCTGCTCATGCTGTCTCTCCCTCAGAAATAAATAAAACATTAAAAAAAAAAAAAAAAAAGGAAATGTATACTTAAAAGCTTAATACAGCATTCTTGATGAAAATGTTAAGGATCAGCTGATCCTGCCTTTTCACTTTATATTTCTCCCACACAAATGTTGGTATTGCTATTATTTTTATGTTTGTATTATTATTATTTTTTAAAAATATTTTTATTATTTATTTCTAGGAGAGAGAGAGACAGCGTGAGCAGGGGAAGGTCAGAGAGAGAGGGAGATACAGACTCTGAAACAGGCTCCAGGCTCTGAGCTGCAGTCAGCACAGAGCCAGACGCGGGGCTCGAACCCACGAACCACGAGATAATGACCTAAGCGAAAGATGGACGCTTAACCGACTAAGCCACCCAGGCGTCCCTCTTTGTATTATTTTAAATATTTGTTTTATTATTAACATTTTCACTGATAAATATTTTCAGAAAAAGTTTAGTATACATTCATTTTTAATTTTTTTAATTAGAAACTTAAGGATGAAAACGAAGAGGTTCACAAAAAACAACTGCCTTAGATTCAACAAATATACTTAATTTATACATATATTCATATACATATATTTCCCTAATCAATTTAACATTATTTTTCACTATTGTTAACCTTTGGCTCTTCCATATTAATCAACTGCATATAAACAGTATATTAATTTTTTCAAATTACCTGGACCAGAAGTGTTATTGGGCCACTTTTATCCACTTCTAGTATTTCACCATTCTTTGTGCCAACTAAAATATGACCGTGTCCTAATGATATGGCACGTATAGATGGGTTATCTTCCAAGAGAAGACCTGAAATATTAAGTGGAGATATTCTTCTAGGTATAAAGTCCCTAGAATACAAGGATGTACATGATGCTACTTTGACAATGAAAAATTACATTACAAGGTTGCTTTTTCCTGTATTTTAAGTATGCTAATAAATGCACCACATTTTCCCAAACCACTCAATTTACTAATCTCAAAAGTACCACCCTGGGGTGCAGGGGTGGCTCAGTGGGTTAAGTGTCTGACTCTCAATTGCTGCTGAGCTCATGGTGTCGTGGGTCAAGGGATCGGCCCGCACAGCAGGCTCAGTGCTGAAGGGGTGGAGCCCGTCTGGGATTCTCTCTCACCCTCTCTCTCTGCCCCTCCCCTGCAAGCGCTCTCTCTCAAAATAAACAACAAAAAACAGTACCACCTATATACAATTATCTCTTATCCCACCCAGCTCCCTTACTACTATTCTAACAACTGTTTCTTCATTCACCTCCTTACCTTCTTAGAGCACTACAATATTCTAGTTAGTAATTTTATTTTTTTTTTTAAATTTTTTATATTTTTATTTATTTCTAGGGGGGAGAGAGAGAGAGAGAGACAGCGTGAGCAGGGGAGGGTCAGAGAGAGAGGGAGACACAGATTCCGAAATAGGCTCCAGGCTCTGAGCTGGCAGTCAGCACAGAGCCCGACGAGGGGCTCAAACCCACGAACCGCGAGATCATGACCTAAGCGAAAGTCGGTTGCTTAACCGACTAAGCCACCTAGGTGCCCCTCTAGTTAGTAATTTTAATTCAACTCAACTTAAGATTGATTCATGTATGTCTACTATGTCCTAGGAAAGCTTCAGACATATACTGGTAAACAGAGCAGCATGAGCTCCTGCCCTCCCAGAGCATATAATGAGGAAATTAGCCCTGTGTGAGGAGCATAGTAAGAGAGGAGCATAATGTAAGGGAATTTTACTTTTTCTGAGGGGATGGAGGGGAGAAAGGAGTGGAAGAAATCATCCTAGAAGAAACAGTGTTTCAGATTTGAAAAATGAGTATACGGTCAGGTAATTGGAGGGGGCAAGAGAGAGGAGAAAGGGCAAATTCTAGGCAAAAGTTATAGTACACAGAAAGGCATGGAGGTCACAGAGAATGTGATGTAGCGCCTTAGTACACAGAGAGCAAGGGTAAAAGGGAGGGCCTGCAAGAAAAGACAGGAAGCAGGGGCGCCTGGGTGGCTTAGTCGGTTAAGCGTCTGACTTTCACTTAGGTCATGATCTCGCAGTTCGTGGGTTCGAGCCCCGCGTCGGGCTCTGTGCTGACTGCCAGCTCAGAGCCTGGAGCCTGTTTCAGTCTGTGACTCCCTCTCTCTCTGACCCTCCCCTGCTCACGCTGTCTCTCTCTCTCTCCTAGAAATAAATAAAAACATTAAAAAAAAAAAAAAAAAAGACAAGACAGGAAGCGTCAACAAAACATGAACGTGAAAGAAACCGCCAAGCCTGAACACAAATTCCTGACTGATGGTAAATGTGACGCCCATATAGGCAATTTTTGTTGAAAAATTAAAAATGATAAAATTACCACTAATAATCTTGCACTTGGTTAATATTTTACCATCTGTGTCACAGAAAACAGATTCATGTGAAAGGACAGCAATGATTCAGGCATCCAGTTAAATAGCTTTTCCCATTAAATTCTGAGGCCTATCTAGCAAAGATGGAAAAATATATTCCAGGTGCTCCACCTCAGTGACCATGCATGTTAATAAACAATTAACCTTTTATTGCTCAAATTAAATTAAATCTCAAATCACCTTTAGATCCTGGTGCCAAAGCGGCTCTTTTTATAGCATAGGTCTTGAGACATCTTTCAAAGGAGTCATCCCAAAGAGCTACCACACCATCTTTTCCTCCAGTTACAAATCCCTTTGAAAGTAAAAGCTTCATGTTAATAAAGATCTAAATATTGAAAAAAATAATAATCCCCTTTATGTTGCAAAACTCTAGAGGAAAGAACATTTACAGCTAAAAGTTACAGCTTATAAACAAATTAGAATAATCCAGTATGTTTTTTATACATCAACATGGAATCTACAAAACTATTTACAGTAACACTAAACATTCTCCTTTTAGGACAGGACTTTAAGAGCAAGGTCTGTAATCTGGAACCATAAGGTAGATCTACCACGTTCAGCAAGATACATATATTCTCTTGGATGCTTCGTAATTCCATCCTTCAAAAAGAGAGGGTAACAACAGTAGTTACCTCACAGGATATGGTGATAATAAAGCACTTAAACCACTGTTCACACATAAGAAGAGATTAATAAATATTAAGTGAAACTTTTTTTAAATAGCAGACCCATTCCACTCTGTGTTCAGGAGTTTGAAAGAGGAATAAAAGAAGTTAGAAAGGCTCTAGTTTACAGAATATTACCGGGTGGCTCAGCTAAGCAGAACGGCAATATTCCTTTACTTGTGAAAATGCTCTACAATCCATCATCAAATTATGTTTAATGTAAAAATATCTTTCGGACACTTACTTTTTCCAATGCATGCATACTAAACACTGGCCCATCATGTGCTTTAACTGTTTTCACAAGAAAGACATCTCTCCAGATACACACGTCTCCTGTGGATGTTCCAGAAAAAGCCATCTCTTCAGTCCATCCATACACTGCACACATCATCGTGTCATTTTTTCCCAGTGTGCCCACGTAGCCTTTTCTTCCAATCAATCCTCCCCCTGGTTCATTAAAATATCACAGAAGTACCACTTTTAAAATGTATAAAATTATAAAGTGATAAAAATTTTTTTTCTATTGGAATTGTTTAGAGACTTAAAAAGAAAAATGTAAGTCTCTCAATCAGTGACTTGCCTGGCTGAGATGGCTATACACACAGCAGCTATAAGGCCACAGCCTTCTAGATAAAAACATCTACACTAAGTTGGCTTTAATCAGTCCTTAGCACTTTGAATTGCTTTTCAAAATTTTTACTATGAAATATTTAAGAAAGCAAAAAAGTACAAAAAAACCCCCCAATACAATGAATGTACGTATATCCCCTAACAACCTACATAAAATTGCAAAAACAAACAAAACATGATGTCAATCCCATCTCCCTTCTTCACCCCTTACTATTCTGAATGTGATGTTGATTATTCCATGCATTCCTTTATACTTACTTTACTACTTATTTATAAATTCTTAGGCAATATAATGTTTGAAGATTTTCTATAAATACCATCCTGTGCATACAGTTGACCCTGAACAGTGGTTTGAACCATGTACAAGTCCATTTTTACATGATACTTTTCAATACAGTATGACAAATGGATTTTCTCTTCCTTATGATTTTTTATAATGTTTATCTTTGAAAGTGAGAGTGTGTGTGCGTGCATGTAGAGTAGGGCAGAGAGAGAGGGAGAGAGGATCCCAAGCAGACTTGGCACAGAGCCCGACATGGGGCTCGATCTCATGCATGGTGAGATCAAGACCTGAGCCAAAATCAAGAGTCAGACACTGAACCGATTGAGCCACCCAGGCACCCCACCTTATGATTTTCTTAATATTTTCCTTGCTCCAATTTACTTTATTGTAAGATTATACTGCATAATACATATACTTTACAAAATATGTGTTAATTGACTGTTGATGTCACTGGTAAAGGTTTGGGTCAATAACGGACTATAAGAAGTATTTGGGGAGTCAAAAATTATATGCAGCATCAGCACCCTAACCTCCTGTGGTATCCAAGGGTCAACTATATTCCTTTGCAACTTGTTTTTATCACCAACAATCTGTACTGGAGTTTTATATATGTTGATTTGTACATTTAGAAAATGCATTTTCATAATTATGTAAGCATTCCATTATATGAACATAACTGCCTGTCCATTTTCCTATTATTGGGCAGTTAAGTTGCTTCCCAGCTTTTGCTATTGAAAACACTGCTTTAAACATTCTTGTAAAGGCCTCTTCTACACAAGTACAAGAGATTCTCTAGGAATGCCTAAGAATGACCACAGGGTACGTGCAAAAGGGAAAGCATATAGATGAGGGGTATCAAATGTTGCCCCTCAAACTATTTTACAAAACTGAGGCACTGATTTACACTCCCATTTAAAATGAAAGGAGTTCTTGTTGTTTTCCACCTTTCAGGAACATTTTGTATTGTTGGACTGGGAGATACGAAATACCAACGGAATTTTATTGAGTTTTAATATTTCTGATTGACTTTTATCATATTTTCCTATTTTTATTGGTCATTCATTACCTATTTTTTCTTTTGCCCATTTTTTTCCCAATTGAACTAATTTATTCATTCATTCATTCAGTAAATATATATGCCAGGAACTATTCAAGGCACTGGGGGGTAGAGCTATGAGCAAAACAGACAACAAATTTCCCTGCTCTCATGGAGCTTCCTGGTGAGACAGTCAATAAATATGACAAGTAAAATGCACAGTATGTTAACAGATAATGATGGGTGCTATGTAGAAAATGTGAGCATAAACAGGAGACAAGAAAAGGCAGGGGCCAATATAAAGTAGGGTGGTTAAGAAAGGCCTCACGAGGAAGGTAGTAGTTGAATGAAGACCTGAAGGAAGTAGCAAGAGCAAGCCCTGCAAGAAGAGGGTTTAAGGCAGAGGGATCACCAAGGGCCTGGATGCAAGAATGTGACAAGAACCTTCAAGGAGCAGCTATAGAGGTCAGTATGGTGTAGCAAAGAAAATAAGGGAGGAAGTAATGGGAGATGGGGCCACGGAGGTCAAGGGCAGCATTACGGGCCATTGTAAGGGTTTAAATTTTTACTCTACACGAGATGGGAAATGGTTAGTGGAATGAAATCTCGCCTATCATGTGTTAACAGGTTCATTCTGATTTCTGGGTTGAGAGGAGATCAGAATAGTAAGGAAGAAAAAAGTAGATATCTATTTCAATCATCTGGGCAAATGATAAAAGTGGCATGGACCAGGGTAGTTGCATGGAAAATGATGAAAAGTGGCCATATTCCAAATGGGACTTCTGGGTGGCTTGGTCAGTTAAGTGTCTGACCTAGGCTCAGGTCATGATGTCACAATTCAAGATTTCGAGCCCTGTACTGGGCTCTGTGCTGACAGCTCAGAGTTTGGAGCCTGCTTCAGATTCTGTGTCTCCTTCTCTCTCTCTGCTCCTCCCGGAAGTTTGTGCTCTTTCTCTCTCTCTCTCTCTCTCTCTCAAAAATAAACAAACATTAAAAATAATTTTCAATATTAAAAAATAATACTTTGTTAAAAAGTAGTCATATTCCAAATGTATTCAGAAGACTGACTTCTTAACACAGCAGTCAGAATTGTTAGTGAACTTTTAAGGATAATTAAGTGGATTGGTGAGAGAAGAAAAATAGGTCAGAACTCTCTCAAGGGAAAGAAGGACAAGATAAATTGCAAAGTAAATGTTTAAAGAATGGTGTAAGGTGTTATTGTACATAGATAAGAAGAGAAATTGATTAGCAACTCCAGGGTCTAGTTGTTAGGTTTTATTTATTTGAGATAGAAGAATAACCCCACACTTGTATGCTGAGGGAAAGAATAAGAGGGAAAAGTGAGGATGCAGGAGAGAAAGGGAAGAAGAGCTGCAGTGATGTCCTTGAGTAGGTGAGAAGAGAAAGGATCTAGTATACAAGTGAAAGGACTGGCTTTCACGAGAGCACAGACTGGCATCTGGAGCAGGAGAGGAAAACTACAGGCTGTGGGCGAAACCCTGCCACCACCTGTTTTTGTACAGAGCCCACTGGAACAGGTTAGCACTGTGAGCTACACAGGCCATGCCTATTTCCTTCTCTGCTTCCAGAACCTGCCTCTCCAACTTTTAGCTGCCAGCTAGTAGTTTCCCAAAGTCTAAGCTGGTTACCATCGACAAGTTGAGGACTTTGCAAATGGCAACTACTGAGCACCTGGCAGTGGAATTCAGTCTAGGAGTTGCTTTAACCCTGGCTAGCTCCTCATGGTGAGAAGGCAGGGCTCTGCAGGAGAACACGCTAGGACCTATGTGTCACTGGGGCAGAGTAAGACTGACCGTGGTTCCCCAGCCCAAACTGCCAGGCCCTCTCACTACAGCAAGTTGATCTTGGAGAGGATATCTCCAGTTAAAGGCAACTGGGTATAAAACAGGGCAGGAATTTTTGCTCTTGTTCTTTAAGTACTTATATAATATTCTTGGTTTTGTCCCTGGGCCTAGGCAGTCTAAAGTATTTGCTACTTCCCCATTTACAGAAAGAGTTTGCCACCCCTGGTTTAGATAATAAACTGGGTTTTCTGGTAGACACAGCATAAAATATTCCTATTGTACTCAAAAACTCTTGGTGGCTCCCTTCCCCTACCCACCATGAAACAGAGTTCAAATTCCTTAGAGGACAGATTAATAATTCATAAGCTGGAATTCTCAAAGCCTAGATCTGAGACAGGAAGTCACAAACTCCCGGTTAGACTCAGGCCTAAGCCATCATTACTTAATTTACATAAAACTACGCATTTAGAGAATTAGCACTTACTCAGACGAATAAAGTGGTTACTTATTTCTCACTTGGTTAGTGAATGAACTCCAGGGATCAGAACCTCAAAAGTGACGAGGTTGGAAGGCACATCAAAGTTTTAACATTTATCCATATGGTTCAGTTTGAGGTCTACTATATGACTAATCAACCTTAAAGAAAAAGTTATTCAACTGCAAATCTCTTCATTCTAAAACTATTTAAGTCTCTTATTTCAAAGAAAGTATAAAGGTTTTTGGTTTTTTCCAAGACAGAAATAATAAGCATTACTTGTTTGGTATCTGCAATTCCAAGTAAATAAGACACTCTAAAATTTTGTTTAAATATATAGGAATGAAAATGGGAAAATACTTCTTTTTACTCTGTAAATGTATATACACTATGATCTGATGAGTTTGTGATAAAGTAGTAAATTCAGGTCTGAAAATTCATGTTCCATATAGTTTACAATTTGAAAGTAACTTGAACTTGGGAAATGTCTTTACTAAGACTATTCGTTTCCACATGTTTTATTTCTTCCTATATTTGTGTATTTTATCTGAAAGGTGTAAGTGGGCTAAGGCTTAGATAGACTCAAGCAAAACGATTTTCCACTTCTGTATCATTTTAAAGCATATAAAGAATTTTTGCAAAAATTTTCATTTTCAGTTTATAATAAAAATATGTCTTTAACAGAAGAAAGGAGTCTGGGCATCACTCAACTAATCTCATAAGTTAAACCCTTCTGAAAATATGAATACTACATCAGTGTAGTCAATAAATGACAATAAAATCAATCTTCCATTTGTTTATGATATATCAAGACAATTGTGAATCACTTAAAAATATTTTGGATAATTTTAGATTTTCATAAAAGATTCAAGGGTAACAGAGAATTCTTCTGTACTCTTGCCCAATTTCACCTGATGTTAACATATTACATGTTATCGACTATTTGTCAAAACTAAGAAACCAACATGTTTGATGCATTTCTGTTCAATGAACTCCAGACCTCATTCAGATTTCACCTGTTTATCCACTAATGTCTCCTTCCTGTTCCAGGATCCAATCTCAGATACTGCACTGCACTTAGCTAAATCACTTTTAAGAGAAATAATTTCTTAAGTTTCAAAGGAGTAAAAAGAAGCACTTCCTTACCAGCTCTACGCCAAAACTTCACGTGTTTAATTCCAGCTGTAATTAATTTATCAGGCACATAGGGGTTCATCTTTACAACAAAAATCTTATCTTTACTTCCTCTGGAAAAAAAAAAAAAACAATGTTTTAACTATGAAGACAAATCTTTCCCATAACAATCTTTTGTCTAATCCATCCCCCACCTTGATCACTCCATTACTGAACCCTTGGCTCTCTTATCTTTCAGGTTTGGGCCATGTAACCATGCATTTGCACATTTGCTATTTTGTCATAATTTTAATTTCTTAACTCTTCTCAACAGAATCTTAAGAGATAGGAACAGTGTGAAGTGAACTTATGGATAGCACCTACTATAGTACTGTGCATAGGAAAACTGTGGCATTAATCAGTTAAAGAAAAAAATTTTATAAAATTTGTTATAGCTGAACATAGCCATTCCAAACACAAAGTTCCTCTTAAACTATCTTTTATTTGGCCATTGTCTATGTACTAAAAGAAGCATGAATCCTTAAATAATTTGTCTTTTTACCATAATTATACTATTTATTCAATGGTAAGAAAGATGTTAGCAATTAAAAAAAGACATGTTTGTTTGATTTCAAAACTGTTTCAAAAAATTTTAAGTGATTTTAGTACTGTGCCAATGTGATATCAAGTTTCTTCCCCACCTTGCTACTGAAAGTTTCTCCCCTTTCTTCCAGTCCCAGAGCACAATAGTGTGGCTATCATCTATTCCAACTGAAGCCAAACGTTTCCCATCCGCTATAAAAATGAATCAGAGAAAGATACTGACCATTAACATTCAGAAGATAAAAAACATTCAGTATATGTTCTAAAACCACAGTACTGTATTTAAAATTTTATAAAATGATGTTAAATGTTAGGTATGCATACATATAGCATACCTATAAAATTACCAGAATTTGTAAGCAGGGGAAGAATAATTTCTCAATGCATCTAAACATTGTTATTTTTCTCTGGTCTCATTTCCAGGTTAGGATGGGGAGGAGGAAGATAAGTGGAAAAAAGAGATTTTAAAACTGGAAGTAAAGAAAATATTAAGAAAGAAGCAAAGATTTACTTCAATTAAATTTACTCTAAGAACTCTATTGCGATATAAGAACTTCTAATGATTACGAAAATTAACTAAATAAAAAAGATGTAGGTTACAACCACATACTGTCATTAGTATGGCCATTGGTAGTAAAGGTCAATTATATTAGTTGTTACTATTACCAAACAAGTAATGTATGTAATAGACAAATGACTGAACTAAGCCAGTCATGCTGAGAGGTGTGCACATGTTGATAGGCTGCTAAGGCCTAAACTACACAAACATTTTCCACCCTGCCACTTTTTGCAAACCTCAATTAGTCTGTTATCACTACCTGTGATCTTTTTCTTGTTGACTCCCTTAGTTTGCCATTAGTCTTCTTGTTTCTTGACTATCAGCAGGTCCCTACATGCATATTTACACTTTCCCCCAATAATTCACTTTCACGTCAGCTACAATAGCAGAAAGCACAAATGTGCCGTTTCTTGAAATAAAATAAAACCCTCTCCCCAATCCACATCCTAGCTTTCATTGTAGATCTACCTGCAGTTGTTAAAGTTTTAAATATACAGCAAAGAGCTAAAATGGTTTGAAATCATTCTTGTAAGATAATCACTTTGCAGAAACGCTAGAAAACAAATATCTCAGCATTCACCTCTTTCCTTCTTAGCTTTCACCCTAAACATTCTCAGTTTATTCTGTGGCTTGAAATACTAAGTGAGATTGGGGTGTTCTCAAAGTGGGAGGTACATATAGTAAGCAGTAATTGAGATGGTTTTAGACGTTATCTTAACATTTTTTGTTTTAATAGAAACATACTTATATTAATGGGTATTAAAAATAACACTCATTAAATTATAAGCTAGCCACACACCCACACCCTCTGCCCTGACTGGTTACGACAATAGTATGCACATTTGAAAACAACTGTGTAGGTCATAGCTACATGACAAGTTTAGGCAACACTGGTTTGACTGATAATGCTATATATAGATCACCTCTGCATTTTGACCCTTCTTACTGAGACAAAAAACAGCCTTACCTGAGAAATCAACAGCACAGACACCATATTGGTGGCAGCCCTTTAATACTGACAATGGTTTAATGGTCTCTGTATCCCATATGTGAATTGAGGGATCCCTACCTACCTACAATAGAAAGAATTATAAAAGTCATCTTATACAATTAAACTTTTTATTTTCATATGAATTAAAAGGAAATAAAAGAGGAGGTTTTAAAGCCTTTGTTTGTTTGTTATGGGCATTTATCAAATAATAATTATAAAGCAGCTCACCTACGTGACTGACATTTCTTTCTTACATTTGTTGAAATGCTAATGAGGCTAAGCTCAGTGTTTCAAGGACTGTTCTGTGCGACTCACAAATCTTATCCTATACTTCATCAATAAAGATAATTCTCCCTGAGCACCTATAGTTAGTTGTATTTCCAGCTACAACAGCAAGCACTAAGACATTCAGGTAAATTTTGCAAACTCATTGGGAAAACAAGACATTTTCAGGTAAATCGATATCTGGTAATAGATGCTTAAGGAAGACGAATGGGTGTAGATAAATGGAAGAGATGATAATTGACCTGGGCCTTCAGAAAGTGCAGTCTCAGATAAAAAGAAAAGCAAGCAAGTACATTCTAGGCTAGGTTAATGCTAAAAACAAAGATACAAAGGGGTTAAAGTACTAAGAAGTTAAGACTGAACAGATGCTATCACTTAGGTTTTAAGTTGATTTCGATGTTCACTGATGCACAGGTAACCTATCAATTCATAATTATTCTCTTAGACTCAAGTGATCACTATCTTTAACTAGAATGATAAAGAGCAAGAATAGGTTTGCCTGTAAAGGCAACTGTTGAAATAATAGATACAGCTACCAATTATAATTAATTTTGAGACTGATTTTATATAAAGACATAACAAGTAACAAGACTGCCATCAGCCAGTATTTCACTAAGTTCTTCAGCCAAATGTTCCCATGGACCATTAAGTCTTCTGTTTAACTTCTTTTTTAAAATTTTTTTAATGTTTTATTTATTTCTAGGAGAGAGACAGAGAGAGAGACAGCGCGAGCAGGGGAGGGTCAGAGAGAGAGGGAGTCACAGACTCTGAAACAGGCTCCAGGCTCTGAGCTGGCAGTCAGCACAGAGCCCGACGCGGGGCTCGAACCCACAAACCGTGAGATCATGACTTAAGAGAAAGTCGGACACTAAACCAACTAAGCCACCCAGGCGCCCCAGTCTTCTGTTTAACTTCTGAAGAGTTTGGCAGTTTTGATAATGTCATGGTAGCACTGTCTCCTGGTTCTTTTATCTCCTGGACTCTTAATACCGAGTTTCCTTCACAACTGCATTACCTGCCCCTTAAATATAAAATTCCCCACGATTCTGTCTTTAATATTCCAGTCTTTTCATTCCACATTTTTGTCTTGTGGTATCTCACTTTCACTTTCAATGGTTAAATCAACAAGTAACTCCCAAATTCTACTTTCTAACCATTAAACTCTTCTTCTGAATTTAAGACTTACATTTCCTTTTTTTTTTAATATTTTTTTTTATTTCTAGGAGAGAGAGAGACAGCGTGAGCAGGGGAGGGTGAGAGAGACAGGGAGATACAGACTCTGAAATAGGCTCCAGGCTCTGAACTGGCAGTCAGCACAGAGCCCGATGCAGGACTCAAACCCATGAACAGTGAGATCATGACCTGAGCGAAAGTCGGACGCTTAACCAACTATGCCACCCAGGCGCCCCAAGACTTACATTTCCAATTGCCTACAGGACATCTCAATCTCACATGGAAATGATGATGACGATGACGACAAAGGCTAACATTTACTGAAAACTGACTTATGTCCCAGAAACTGTTCTAAATGCTTTACAAGGATGGACTCATTTAATCAGCAATTCTGAGATCGGCATTGCCAGTACCCTTATTTTAAAACAAGTGGAGACTAAGGCAGAGAGAGGCTAGGTAATTTTCCCACAGCTAGTAGGTGGAGAAGCTTGAACACCACCACATTCAGTGCTGGCAAAGATAAAAGAGTGAGTGCTATTAGGGCACAGGTGGAGCATAGTAGTCAAGGATGAGGGGAGAGGTTATGCAAGTTTTCAGACGTTACTTAACCTACATTTTAATAGGAATAGGAATTAGATAAAGTTGGAGGATTGAATAGAAGTGGAAGGTAAGAATTTTCCAGAGGACGGAACGAAGTAAAAGATGTGAAACAGTATCACACATGGACAAATTCTAAAAAGCTCAAAAGGTAGAAGCATAGTTTACGAGGAAATAATTGGTAAGAGATAAAAAGAGGTGTCTGGGAGCGCCTGGGTGGCTCAGTTGGTTAAGCATCCAACTTCAGCTCAGGTCATGATCTCATGAGTTCAAACCCTGCATCTGGCTCTGTGCTGACAGCTCAGAGCCTGGAGCCTGCTTCGGATTCTGTGTCTTCTTCTCATATATTTATATATATATATAAGAGGAGTATGGAGTTGGCCTAGGTTAAAATCTTAAGCTGCATGCTAATGAGCTTAGACATTAGCTTAAAAGCTACTGATAAACACAGAAGAAAAGATTATTAGTGGATTGGGAAAATGGTTAGGGGGAAAAATCTGAAGATATAAGACTAGTTGGTTGGTTATAACAACAGATTAGAAATCGTGAAGCAAAGGGCTGCCAGCAGAGAAGGTAAAATACAAAAACAAAACAACACGTCAGAGATATATTCATGGTAGAGAACTGAGCTATATTCAGAGCAAATCTTGGAGGCAACTCTGGGACTCACTGGCTATAAAGTGTGAGGAGAACAAGTCAGACTTTCGGGCTTAGGCAACCAGGTTAATATAACGTCCTGTTCCAAGGAGGAAATGCGAGGATAAGCAGATTTGAAAGGAAAGCTTAATCTCATTTATCTCCATTTTGCACATGCTGCATCTGAACTACCCACAAGATATCTAAATGAATGTGTTTTAGGTAAATTTTTCATGAACTGTATACATACAGTAATCCATCTAACTCATATTAGTTTGGGAGCTCTCGACAGCGGCAGCCAATATGAATTATCTTTGTGTTTTCCCACAATATTTAATGCTTTGAAAATAAGAAGCACTCAACAGATATCTGAATTAAACAAAATTTTCTAATTAGGGTAAAGTCAACATAGTCAAGTTGTAGGTAATGTTCTTTCAAGCTTCTTTCACCTCCAATTACAATCACAGTTCATGACAGAGGAGCATTATTTGTACTCTACCCCAACAAAACAGAACACCATTTAAATTTGTCATCTAAATTTCAAAGCCCTCAGATAAAATACTTCAGAAATACTTCTACTTTTGATATTTTTTCATTTTTAACAATTTTAAGAGACGTATTTATTTTAGAAGTCTATAATTATAGAAATGAGATTGGTTGGTTGAAATGTAATCCAGGAGAGATATGGAAAGCACTGGGAGAAATAGAGAAGGCAGTGTAAGCCTGTGCCTTGGGAGAAAGGCTTGGAGTCTGCAATGCCTCAGGCAGAGTTACTGTTGTTCAAGTGAAGCCAGAAGCAAAAGAGCTATGGCTTGATGGTGACAGAAACCAGAATATATCACCCTAAAACATGCCTCTTTGACACAAAAATTACTTTGAGCGGAGGGCAACAAAGAAACAGCAACCCCTACTCCCAAAACTCCACCTCCTTTTCTGCATAAATGCAAGATATATATATGACTTTTTCAACTTTATTGCAATACAATTGACAATATACAACCTGTTGTTCATGTAAGTTCTCCCTTTATTGGAGACAGACTCAGCCCAGAGACAGCACAAGAGGAATCCCAAGAAACCTTACTACAGGAGTTTCATCCTATATACATACCTTCCCACAGCTTGTCGCCCTTAGAAGCCTAAAACTGCTTTCCTTTGCCCTGTCATTTCTCTAAGAATCTGCTGCTTTCTATATAAGGTGGAATCCTAAGCCACCATCCTGAGTTAACTTTGGTTTAGATTTCTCCAACGTGATATGCACTACACCTGTTAATAAGCTTTTTTGTTCTTCTCTGGTAAACATTTTTTTGTTGTTGTTAAAGAGACCTAGCTGAAAATCTAGGATGTCTAGAGCTAAAATTTTGCTTCCCCTACAGTAGGTATCCAGAGATGTCTTGTGGGCATAATGACTTTTAATCTAATCTAGTTTGAATTCTCTCCAATGCCAGAATTGTGGTAGCAAATGACCAGTTTTTATACAGCTTTCATTAGAGCACTGCCAGAATAACACTGAAACTCCCTGCCAAATGCAATGGGTAAATTATTGTGCTTTAAGAGGCACCTTTTATATAAACTAAAAGATAAACAGTGCCCCTGAGGACCTTACCAAAAACCTTTTTAATTAGCTCTTTATCATACCCCTAAAATTTGAATACTTTAGGCTACTCAAAGTTCTTTAAATAGGGTGTGTTTTGTGGGATTTTTGCCCCACTTTTCCAAATAACACACCTGGAATACTCTCTCCAACCTCCTGTCAGGTAAAGTGCTCAGAGCAAATGTCATCATCTCCATGAAAGTTTCCCGGATTCTATTAGGCACAATTAATCAGTCCTTTTTTACACTGCAAAGGAATTTATGCATATCACCTCATTAGTGGTTCTCAGCAGGGGGCCATCTTTGCCTCCCAGGAAACGTTTGACACTGTGGAGACCTTCTTGGTTATCACAAATGAGCGGGTGGTGTTAACCACATCTAGTGAGTAGAGGCCAGGGATGCTGCTAAACATCCTGCAATACATCGGATTACACTGTACGCAACAATGCAATTATCCTCACAACAGAGAATTATCTGGCCCAAAATGTCAATAGTGTCAAGGTTAAGAAGCCCTGTTTTATACTTATAACTTTGTATCATGACTTTTCTTGCATATATGCCTTCCCCCTCAGAATAGAATGTTTACCATGGCAAGATCATGCCTTATTTATCCTTACATTCCCAGCACATTTCCTGATACACAGCACATGCTGTATGAATGTTTTTGAAGAAACGGAAGAAAGGAGGAAAAAAGGAAGGAGGCAACAGAAGGAGAGAAAGACTGAGCAAAAGGGAGGCACATACGGAGGGAAGGAAAATGGGGGAAAGAGCAAGGGAAGAGTGTTCTCTGCTCTCAGTAAAGCTCTAAAGAGCGATGCTAGCTGCCCACCCCCACACCTCAATGTATCCTAGAGGGCATATTTACACAGGGTTTAAAAAGCCAGCAGACAAAGAAAGCTTTAAGCTTTATCATTTATTAGCTGAATTCAGAAAATTATTTAATTTCTTCAAACCTAAACTTCTGCATTTGTAAATGGAGACGGTTTCCTTCCAAAAGAGGTGACATAAGAGTGAAATAGAGTCGATTTCTGAACAATGTGGGGGTTCAGGTGTCAACCCACGTATAACTTTGACTCTCAAAAAACTTAACTGTTGGCGAGAAGCCTTATTAATAACATAGTGAGTTAACGGGTATTTTATAAGTTACATGTGTTATGTACTATATTCTTACAATAAAGTAGGCTGGAGAAAAGGTTAAGAAAATCATAAGGAAAACACATTCCAGTACTGTAAAAAATCTCCACGTAAGTGGAGCCATGCAGTTCAAACTTGTGTCAAGGGTCAACCGTATATTCTAAGAAACTAGGGAAGTGCTTATGTATAGAAAGGATGTATAAACATCACCCTTTTCCTCCTTCTCTAAGAATACCCACATAGAGAAATATCAGTCAAAACTTTTCTCAGTGTCTTCTATTTCAACAGTTCTGCTTTGTACTTTGGTAAACATGAATGGTTAATATCATGGATGTAAAACTAGAATGCAGTCATCCTGTTTGCCACAGAACATTTGTTAGATAATTTTATTATTTTAGATAACTTAAAGAAACCAAATTTCTAGTCTTTATGTTTCTATTTACTCTACAAATTTAAAAATATATATCCTGACAGGAAGAAGACAAGCCAAAACCCTTAATTCCAAATTAAAAAAAAAAAAAAATCAAAACAATAAAACTCTAAGGAAAACAGTGGGAAAACGTGGGGTAAATCTTATTCGTAAAGAATCCTTTATTCTTCATTTCCTAGAATACGAGACAGATTTTTTTAAAAAAGTGGACTAACCTCACTGTAAACCCAAACAAAGGTCTAACATATCTGGCCTGTCACCATATAGTCTTTCAAAGGCCCTACCTGGCCTGTTGCCACATAGTCTTTCAAAGGATGAAGAGCCAGGCAGAGAATATCATCATCATGACCCAGGTAAAAGCGCTGTGTGTTCTGATGCCGATTATAAATGACACCCACTGCTGCGACATGGTACACGATTTCACCAATTTGAGTATAAAAAAGATTACTTCGACAGTCATAACCTCTGTAACTGAATATAGAAAACATATCACATAAAATTAGCATTAGCTTTTTATCTGGTCAATATGGACTATATAGAGAAGTATGTGCCTTTTAGGTCATTCAATTTCCAGTGTTACAAGATACTACACAACTAAAACAAAATACAAGCATCTCAAATTCCATAAATTTTTATGAATTGCTCCAATTACAAATAGCTAAATCCAAGATATAATACTGAATGAAAAAGCAAGGTGCAGAAAAGTATATATATAGTATGCTATTATTTGTGTAAGTATAATACTAAATTTGTGTTCAGTAAAACAGAAGTTGTTACTTTGTTACAAGTGAAAGGGAAGAGAATTGCCCTTGGAGGGTGAAAAATGATGCCCGGGAGGGCAGAGCTGGGAAGATTTTCTTTTTTCTTTTTCTTTTTTTTTGAAGATCTAATTGGTTTTATTAAAAAATTCATGACTCAGGCAGTATCCCATCTAGCAAGTAGAGAGGAGCTCCCTGGGAAAAGGATTTTCAAAATGTACCCTTTTGTACACATTGTTGAAACATGAGTATAACCCAAAAATGTTCAAACAATAAGTGTAAAATATTATACACATCCAGAAAAAAATAGCTGAATCTTTTTAAAATAGTCAATATATTTCCATTTATAGCAACCCTTCTTTTGTGCTTTAAAGAAACTCAATGTATAATATGTAACTACACAGAAATACTGCCTATTTTAACACCAGAAATATAATATTCTTACTAAATGAATTCTTTTTACATTCCTAAGAGAAGGGAAGGGTTGAATGGAGAATCTGTTGTTTCAGGATGAAATCTGACATTGTATTGCCAGATGTCCTAAGAAAATTCAGAGACTGTATTTTACTGAAGTTAAAACACAAGGGCCAAATGCAGGCCAAAATAAAAGGGGGGGGGCCACAATATAATTACAAATCAGACATATTTAGGGGTAATGATAATGTCCTACATTTTACTTATTTTCATTTGTTTAAAGACAAGAGCTTCATTTCTATAAACTAATACTAAACTTTTACAAGACAAATTTATTTTAAACACTTATATAGTGCTTATTATGCGCCAGACAATATTCTAAGTCACGAAAAACACTGGCTTACTTACGCCTCATCAGAATCCTATGGAGTGGGTACTGTTATCTTCATTTTACAGATGGGGAAAGAGGCAAAGAAAGGTTGAGTGACTTGCTCAAAGTCACAAAGCTAGTAAATGTGAACCAAAATGCAAACACATAAATGAACAATAGTTGTTTCATACCCGTGAACAAAGTGTAATCGAATGCTATTTCCTGGAGCCCGCTCTCTTCTTTTAGAAGTACCACTTTTTTGTTTTTCCTTGTACTGTTCTTTAAGCTGAGGTAGATCTTCTTTGTAAACCTTTAAATAATGTACAGAAGTAATTAAAAATAATCTTAGAATACAAATTAATAAAGGTGTTCACAGATTCCTAATGTAACTTTCAGACACTGTGGTTACTACTGATTACTAAAGTTTTAACATTTAAATAAGAAGGTATTTTATGAAATTTTCTTCCTTGGAAACAACAAATTTACATTTTCTATGTATTACACTGACAAATACATATTTAGTGTTCATGAAATTATTATTATTATTTTATCCTCACATTAGGTTTTTTTTTAATGTTTTATTTATTTCTGAGAGAGAGAGAGAGAGAGAGGCAGTATGAGTAAGGGAGGGTCAGTAAGAAAGGGAGACAGAATCTGAAGCAGGCTCCAGGCTCTGAGCTAGCTGTCAGCACAGAGCCCAACGTGGGGCTCGAACCCACAAACAGTGAGATCATGACCTGCGCCAAAGTCGGATGCTTAACTGACTAACCACCCAGACGCCCCATCTTCATGTTAGTTAGCATACAGTGCAGTCTTGGCTTCAGGAGCAGAACTCATTGTTTCATCTCTTACATATGACACCCAATGCTCATCCTGAAAAGTGCCCATAATTCCTGTCACCCATTTAACCCGATCCCTCACCAACACTTCCATCAATCCTCAGTTTGTTCTCTGTATTTAAGAGTCTCTTATGGTTTGCCGCCCTCTGCTTTTATCTTATTTTTCCTTCCCTTCCCCAACATGCATTCTGTTAAGTTTTTCAAATTCCACATGAATGAAACATGTATCTTTCTCTTATTTTGCTTAGCATAATACCCTCCAGTTTCATCCACATTGTTACAAATGGCAAGATTTAATTCTTTTTCATTGCTGAATAGCATTGCACATATATATGTATATATGTACATATATGCATATACATGTGCATATATATACATATATACATGCATATACACATATGTGTGATTAAGAAAATGTGGGGTGTATACATATATATATTTTTTTAATTCATTCATCAGTTGGTGGACATTTGGCCTCTTTCCACAATTTGGCTATTGTTGATAGTGCTGCTATAAACATTGAAGTGCACGTGTTCATTTGAATCAGCATTTTTGTATCCTTTAGATAAATTCCTAGTAGTGCAATTATTGCATCATAGGGTAGTTCTATTCTTAATTTTTTGAGGAACCTCCCACTGTTTTCCAGAGTTTACATTTCCACCAACAGTGCTATAGGGTTCCCCTTTCTCCACATGCTCACCAAAATCTGTTGTTTCCCGAGTTGTTAATTTTAGTCATTCTGACTGTTGTGAGGTGAAATCTCCTTGTGGTTTTGATTTGTTATTTCCCTGATGATGATGAGCAATGTTGAGTATCTTTTCATGTGTCTGTTTACCATCAGGATTTCTTCTTTGGAAAAGTGTCTGTTCATGTCTTTTGCCTGTTTCTTCACTGGATTATTTGTTTTTTGGGTGTTGAGTTAGATAAGTTCTTTATAGATTTTGGATACTAACCCTTTATCCAACATGTCATTTGCAAATATCTTCTCCCATTCTACTTGTTGCCTTTTAGGTTTATTGACTGTTTCCTTCATTGTGTAGAAGCGTTTTATCTTGATGAGGTCCCAATAGATTCATTTTTGCTTTTATTTCCCTTGCCTCCAGAGATAGGTCAAGTAAGTTTGGCTAAGGTCAAAAAGGTTGCTGCCCTTTTTCGCCTCTAGGATTTTGATGTCTTTCCTGTCTCACATTCAGGTCTTTGATCCATTCTGAGTTTCTTTTTGTGTATGATGAAAGAAAGTGGTCCAGTTTCATTCTTCTGAATGTTGCTGTCCAGTTCTCCCAACACCATTTGCTAAAGAGGCTCTTTTTCCACTGGGTATTCTTCCTGCTTTGTCACAGATTATTTGGCCATATATTTGTGGGTCCATTTCTGGGTTCTCTGTTCTATTCCATTTATCTATATGTCTGTTTTTGTGCCAGTACCATACTGTCTTGATGATTACAGCTTTGAAATCTAGGTTAAAGTCCAGGATTGTGATAGCTCCAGCTTTGGTTTTCTTTTTCAGCATTACTTTGGTTATTTAGAGTCTTGTCTGCTTCTATACCAATTTTAGGATTGTTTGTTTTAGCTCTGTGAAGCATGCTGGTGTTATTTTGGTAGGGACTGCATTGAATATGTAGATTGATTTAGACAGTATAGACATTTTAACAATATTTGTTCCTCTAATCCAGGAGCATGGAACGTTTTTCCATTTCTTTGTGTCTTCTTCAATTTTTGTCATTAGCTTTCTATAGTTTTCAGCGTACAGATTTTTTTTTACTTCTTTGGTTAGATTTATTCCTAGGCATTTTATGGTTTTTGGTGCAACTATAAATGGGATCTTTTCCTTGATATCTCTTTCTATTGCCTCATTATTGGTGTACAGAAGTGCAACCAACTTCTATACACTACTTTTTGGTGGAATCTTCTGGGTTTTCTATGTAGAGTATATTGTCATCTGCAAAGAGTGAAAGTTGGACGACTTCTTTGCCAATTTGGATGCCTTTTATTTCATTTTGTTGTCTGACCGCTGGGGCTAGGACTTCCAATTCTATACTGAACAACAGTGGTGACATCTCTGTCATGTTCCTGATCTCAGGGGGAAAGCTTTCAATTTTTCCCCATTGAGGATGATACACTAGCTATGATGAAATTATTTTTTAATATTGTTTTTTTAATGTTTTACTTATTTTGAGAAAATGTGTATACACACATGTGCATGAGCACACATGCAGGGGAGGAGTGTAAAGAGAGGGAAACAGAGAATCCCAAGCTGACAGCACAGAGCCTAATGAGGGGCTTGATCCCATGAACAGTGAGATCATGAACTGAGACGAAATCAAGAGTCGGACGTTTAACTGAGCCATCTAGGCACCCTAAAATTCTAATGCTTCATAAGGAAATATTTTAAAGAGGATAAACCAAAATGCACTGTGACAAGGGGCGCCTGGGTGGCTCAGTCAGTTAAGTGTCCAACTTTGGCTCAGGTCATGATCTCGTGGTTCGTAGGTTCAGGCCCTGCATCGGACTCTGTGCTGACAGGTAGCTCAGAGCCTGGAGCCCGTTTCAGATTCTGTGCCTTCCTCTCTCTCTGACCTTACCCTGCTCATGCTGTCTCTCTCTCAGAAATAAAAAAACATTAAAAAAAAATTTAGAAAAATGTACTGTGACAGAAAGCTATAGGCAAATAGAATACAAGCAAACTTAATACATCAAGCACTTATTATAAAAGAATATTTTACGTAAGTGTACTTTAACTCTTAAAGGAGAAAAACTGCAATAGAAAAACATTTCCTGGAAAATTAAAAACCACAAAAGATAACAATAAATCAATAAACAACAGGGAGCAAGATAAAAAAAAAAAGGAATGAGGTTTTCAGAAGAAAATAATGTGATAATAAAAATTACCTGCCGACGGTAGGTAAGCTGTGTCTCTTGCTCAATTTCAGAATCCAGTTCTGGAACATCAGACAGATCTGAATCTGATTCATCACTATTAGAGTCAGCCAGACTTTCTGTAATTTTTTAAAAATGAAACATTACTTGTTTAAAGAACATTCATTTTCAAAACAGCACTGTAAAGTTAATGATTAGAGCTGCCTGTACCAACTGACATGGTGACAAGCCATAAAGCAGTCACATGACATGATCTATTCAAGAAACACAGATGTCAGTAAATGGTATCACAGAGCACCTTCCCCTCCACTTCACCTTAAACTCAACAGCTACTTTAAATCCCTCAACTGGTGCCACAACAACTGCTGCATCAAACTTGAATGTTGGGCAAATATAAGTGAATATGACCTATAATTAACATGAAAAATATCTGGAAAATACTATATGTAACAGATGAATTAACACTAGATAATGATGTTCATATATAACCATATATGAAACCTAGATACCTGTCTCCCTGAGAATGCAACGAATGTTTGTTTTGATAATGTAACTTTTTTTCCATTCATCCATCCGTGGATTAAAACACACACAAAAGTACTTTGTATTCCATGCTCTCTGACATTTGACTCGAGACTTATACACCGAGGATTTTAACATTTTCACTAAAAACTATACTGTTAACTTATAAGACTAATGACACTTCAACAGTAAAATCATTACTCTGGGATTCCTGAAGAGTGTTTTGACAGAGAAATTGTTCAGGCAGTGTGTTCTACTCACCTTGAGGTGCTATGTGAAGAGCATCTTTTAGTTTTCTTTCAGGAATAAATTTCCACTGGAAGACAGAGTGATCTGCTCCACCAATAGAAATAACCCACTGATAGTCATGTGACCATCTGACGTTAGTTACATGAGCCGAATGGCCAATATATTTTTTAAACTTGGCTCCTATAACAAAAAATATGCCTTTAAATTGATAAACAAATACCAACACACACACAAAAATACCACTTCAAACCACGATTTCTATACCTGAGACAATACATCCTCCTTCCATTATCTTAATTAGCATTAAAAGTAAAAATATTAATTCAAAAGTTTATTGAATTAACAAATGAATGAGTCTACATGAAGGGATGTAAACCTCTGCTCTACTGATGGACAATGTGATTTGGTAGGAACCCTAAGGGCTGTGAGGCGTTTTCTTACTGTTCAGAGCAAAAAGCCTACAGCCACAAAGGCATCAACTGTTTGCATATCACAAAACTGTTTGCATATCACCAAAGTTGAATGTTCTGGCCTGAACCCTTTGGTTTTAAGTGAAATTCAACCCGTCTACTCCACTCCCGCCGTCCCTAGCCCTACCAGCCAGAGGCTCCTTCTAAAAACTTAAGCTATCAACAAAATACTAGCAAACCGAATACAGCAACATATAAAAAGGAATACACAGCACGACCAAATGGGATTTATGCCAGGAATGCAATGTGGACTCAACATTCAAAAATCAACTTAATACATATTTATCAAAATATGCCCAGTTGTCCCCAAAACTGTCCTTTATAGTAATTCCTTAAATCTATATGTTTTGTATAATGTTCTTCAACCTAAGTTTGTCTAATGTTTCTTCATGATTAGATTCAGATGATGTGCGGTTGTTTTTTTTTTTTTTTTTGGCATCTATGATGCTGTATCCCTTTGGATACATCCTTTCAAGGGGCACAGTTCTATCATTAGGGGTTAGTTTGCATCATCTGGTTAAGGTGGTATACACCAGATTTCCCTAATTATAAAAGAACTAACTTTGTGGTTAATGTTTATTTTTAAGTTTATTAATTTTGAGAGAGAGAAAGAGACAGACGGAGGGAGAGAGAGAGCATGCACAAGAGCAGTGGAGGGGCAGAGAGGAGGAGAGACAGAATCCCAAGCAGGTTCCATCCAGTGCAGAGCCTGACACAGGACTCAAGCTCATTCATGAACTGTGAGATCACGACCTGAGCCAAGATCACAAGTTGGCCACTAAGTCACGTCACTCAGGAGCCCCTGTGGTTAGTTTTTTACAAATAACCTGTGTGATTTTAAGAACCATTTTTGTGGTTCTAAGTTCAAATAACATTCTCTGTATCCTGCTTAAACCTGATATTTGGCAACATATATACATCCCTATTAGAGTACAGTGGATACAATAATGTTTGGCTTCATTTTGATAATGTTTAAAAAAATTTTTTTGAGAGAGAATGAACAAGTGTGTGCACGTGGGGGAGGGGGGAGAGTGGGGGAGGGGGAGAGAGAGGGGGGGGAAGGAGGGAGGGAGGGAGGGAGAGAATGAATCCCAAGCAGGCTCCAAGCTCAGTGGAAAGCTCAACACAGGTCTAGATCCTACGACCATGAGCTTATGACATGACCCAAAATCAAGAGTTGGAAGCTTAACCAACTGAGCCACCAGGTGCCCCAATGTTTTAATATTTTTTAAATTAAGTTATAGAAGCCCTGTATGTCAGAAAGGCAAAGCTCCATCAATTAAAATCTGGAGATAAACTTTTACCTTGGCTATGAATTTAGGGATAGTATCTTAATGAAAGCATAAAAGATTTGACCAAAGCTCACCTAAAATTACAATTCACTGTTGCTTAATAGCAATGCTGTTAAATTTTAGGAACCAATTGTTTTATGTAGCTAAATACAAGTCAGTAACTTTCTAGATAGGTAATGTGTCACAGTTCACCCAGGGAAAGTCCAATAAGTTAAGATTTAGTCCCATCTCTCTCACATGAGAATGTATTATTTGCTCATTGAGAGGACTCTGGCTACTACTTTCTCTGATGGGACTTTTTTTTTTTTTTAATTCTAGGAGAGAGAGAGAAAGAGAGAGAGAGAGAGAGACAGCGTGAGCAGGGGAGGGTCAGAGAGAGGGGGAGTCACAGACTGAAGCAGGCTCCAGGCTCTGAGCTGGCTGTCAGCACAGAGCCCGACATGGGGCTCGAACCCACGAACTGCAAGATCATGACCTAAGCGAAAGTCAGACGCTTAACCGACCAAGCCACCCAGGCGCCCCTGATGTGACCCTTTAAGTACTCTTAGCCACCAGAGTCTTAAAAAGTAAAGCCAGAGGGATGCCTGGGTGGCTCAGTCAGTTAAGTGTCCGACTCCTGATCTCAGCTCAGGTCATGATCTCTTGGTTTGTGAGATCAAGCCCTGTGTCAGGCTCTGCGATGACAGCACGGAGCTTGTTTGGGATTCTCTCTCTCTCTCTTTCCCCCCACCCTACCATCTCTCCCCTGCTCACTCGCTCTCTCTCAAAAAAAAAGTAAAGACAGAGATTCCAAAAAACAAAATTCCAAGTTTTTCAGATGTACTAATATTTTCTTGTTTAGGCACATGAAGAAGAGTTATATGAACATGTATTCTAATTAACTATAATGGACAATAACCCCAAGAGAGTTGTAAATAACTCTAAGTTGTAAGTAATCTGCTAGTCCCTTCCCAATTGTATTCTGTGACTTTTCAAAGATCAATCTCTCTGGAAGAAAGAACCAAGGCAGCTTAACAAACAAGTTGTAGAGTAAGTCTAAGGGAAGCCAATTATTTATAATTAAATAGACTATATTAATAATTATTTAATAATCAGCACTTTTTGTTTGTTTAAATGTTTATTTTTGAGAGAGAGTAAGAGAGAGACAGTGCGAGTGGGGAGGCGGCAGAGAGAGAGGGATACACAGAGTCTGAAGCAGGCTCCAGGCTCTGAGCTGTCAGCACAGAGCCCAACGCAGGGCTTGAACTCATGAATGTTGAGATCATGACCTGAGCCAAAGTTGGACACTTAACCAACTGAGCCACCCTGGTGCCCCAACCAGCACTGCTTACTTAACAATAACAAACAGGTGCCTTAAAAGTGAACCTAGGGGCGCCTGGGTGGCTTAGTCGGTTAAGCATCTGACTTTCGCTTAGGTCATGATCTCGCGGTTCGTGGGTTCGAGCCCCGCGTCGGGCTCTGTGCTGACTGCCAGGTCAGAGCCTGAGCCTATTTCAGAGTCTGTATCTCCCTCTCTCTCTGACCCTCCCCTGCTCACGCTGTCTCTCTCTCCTAGAAATAAATATTAAAAAAAAAAAACTGAACCTAGATGTCACCCTTTCACAAAGTGACTCTGACTCACCAAAAACAAGCTATCATCCTACATGTTTTCAGAATTCCGTGATTACCTTGTGTAATTATACTTATGACACTGAAGTGTAATCGTCTATTTACTTGTTAATTCCTCTAATAAATTATATGCTGAGGACAGGGATGGCATCTTGTTTATTCTTATCCCTAGTGCCTGGCACATAGGATATATTCATTAACTATCTGGAGAAAGAGAAAGAAAGGAAAAGAAAAACAAAGATCATATGTGCCTTTACTATGTTTGTACACTTGAGTTGGAATACTAGGTTACAAAAGAGGGAAGAAGAATACTGAAGAAAATGAGGGCATTAAACATGATTCCAGCCCTTATAATTATAAAAGGGGACAAAAGTGTGATGTACAGAATATTAGAAACTGAAATAAAAAGACTAGAGCTTGCTAAAGAGTCTGCTCAACTACTTAACAGCACAGGAGCTTGAGCATATCACTTAACCTCTCTTGGACTCCATTTCCATTCTAATATAAATTAAATTATAGGTTCTCAAAGTTTCTTCACTATGAAAACCCTGGCCTAAGACAGGAAATGACAAAAAGAATAGTTAAGGCCTAAATAATATGTCATCAATTAGAATATCTCAGAGAAAAGACTTATTGGAGCAAGCTAGAATGGTCATAGGAGCTTTCCTAATTTAAAGGAGAAGGGAAATTCTTGGTGAGGATAAAGCAATATACTGAAAAAAATTTTTTGATGATCCCATTTTTTTTCAAATTTGTTTTAAAGTATATTATAGCATAAAATTAAGTGAGCTAATCTCTTCAATAAATTGTAGCAATAGGACAAAAGATATTTTCCCATTTAACTATGTTTTAATAACCTTACTGCTTCTTTATAAAATATGAGAATATCTATGTAACCCTAGTATAATATTAATATACAAAACAGAACTATTCATAAAAAAAGAGAGACAGATTTGACTACATTGCAATTAGGAATTGGTTAACAGAAGACACAGTAATTATAACTGTTCTAAAAATAAGTCAAAAACTGGGAAAACACATTTGAACACAAAAATTACAAATCATTTGTATTCAGCATATATAAAATAACTTCAACAACTCAATAAAAAACCCCACAACTCCATAGAAAAACAGGTAAAAGACAGGAGGCCTGGGTGGCTCAGTTGGTTAAGTTTCTGACTTTGGCTCAGGTCATGACACTCAACTGACTGAACCACCCAGGAGCCTCAACTGTTGCATCTTTAGAGAACTAGTAGAGGGGCGCCTGGTGGCTCAGTCAGTTGAGCATCCAACTTTGGCCCAGGTCATGATCTTATGGTTCACAAGTTCGAGTCCCATATTGGGCTCTGTGCTGACAGCTCAAAGTCTGGAACCTACTTCCGATTCTGTGTCTGTCTACCTGTCTCTTTCTCTCTCTCTGTCCCTCCCCCACTTATGGTCTGTCTCTCTTAAAAATTAAACATTAAAAATTTTTTTTAAAAAAGAACAATAGGCAAAAGATATTAACCCATGTTTGACAGAAAAGGGAATGCAGAAAAACAAAAAAAACAATGGGAAAATTATCCATCTCATTAGTTAGACGAATGACAGTTAAGACTACAATGTGACATCATTTATACTAATTAGACTTATACAAATTAAGAAGTGTAGCAATGCCAAGTGTTGAAAAGGATATGGATCAACAGGGTTTTTTAAATGATATAACCACTTTGGAAAACAATTTGGCATTTTCCTATAATTCTCTATGACCCAGCAACTTCATTCCTAAGTAGACATCTTTGAGAAACTTGCATATAATGGCAAAAAACTGGATATTACCCAAATGTCCACCACAGAAGAATAAACGCATGAATTCTATCTTTTTTTTTCTTTTGAGAGAGAGAGAACACAAGTGCGGGGCGGGGGGCGGGGGGCGAATCTTAAGCAGTCTCTATGCTCAGAATGGAGCCCAAATGGGGCTTGATTCCACAACCGTGGGACCATGACCTGAGCCAAAATCAACAGTTGGATGTTCTGTCCCTTCTCTCTGCCTCACCCCCACTTGCACTCTCTCAAAAGCAAGCATTAAAAAAAAAAGTACAACTTCATAACTAATCTGAAAGAGAATTTTTCTAGTGATACTAACTTTATGCAAGTAAATTCAATAAACACAAAATCTTAAGATATTTCTACTTTTTAAAAAAATTTAATATTTTTATTTGTTTTTGAGAGAGATAGAACACAAGCAAGGGGAGGGCAGAGACAGAAGGAGACACAGAACCTGAAGCCAGCTCCAGGCTCCGAGCTGTCAGCACAGAGCCCAACATGGGGCTCAAACTCATGAACCATAAGATCATGACCTTGGCCAAAGTTGGATGCTCAACTGACTGAGCCACCAGGTACCCCTCTACTAATTCTTTAAAGATGCAGCAGTTGGGGCTCCTGGGTGGCTCAGTCAGTTGAGTGTCCGACTTTGGGTCAGGTCATGATCTCACAGTCTTTGAGTTCGAGCCCCAAGTCGGGCTCTGTGCTAACACCTCAGAGCCTGGAGCCTGCTTCAGATTCTATGTCTCCAGCTCTCTGCCCCTCCCCCGGCTTGTGCTCTGTCTCAGTCTCTCAGAAATAAATGTTAAAAATTAAAAAAAAAAAAAAAGATGCAGCAGTTATGTGGCACCTGGGTGGTTCAGTTGACTGATCATCAGACTCTTGATTTAAGCTCAAGTCATGATCCCAGGGTCATGGGATCCAGCCCTGAGTTGGGCCTAGGCACTGAGCATGGAGCCTGTTTGGGATTCTCTCCCTCTGCCCCTCTCCCCAAGTCATGATGTCTTTCTCTAAAAACATTTTTTTTTAGAAAAGATGCAGTAGTTATATCCTATCTTCTGTTCTCCCAATTACTTACCCATAGTCTCAAGCTCACAAGTGCCTAGAAACAAAAGCACTTACCATAAAATAAGTTTCTAATAAAAATCTAACAAAAAGAAAAATACGGAAAACAATTTATACTCTTGAAACAGTGACTAAATAGGATTAATTTTGCTGAGACTTCAGTAAAATATTCCCACAATTCAGATTACTATATATTTTAAAAATAACTGTGCAACAAAAATACTCTGCCCTGTTGCAAAAGATAAAAACTGTCAATAAATCCAATTCAGTTGACTCAGGAAGCTCTCAGAAAATCATTTTTGTTTTTGCATAGTCAGTATATGGAACAGTGAGCAGAAGCAATGTCTAAGATTAAGACCATCATAATTAATCTGAATCTCACACATCTTCTAACTAAGCAAGTCTCATTCTGAGTCATAATAAAATCTCTTGTGCCCAGTGACTTTCATGTCCTGGCTATGTGGTGGGATCCAGAAATAGGAAACTGTAATTGCTAGAGATTTAGCTAGGCTTTATTAACACACTTCGCATTACTAACGGATGCAATTTCACACACACCTAGGAAGCTGAAACTCTGCAAGCAGGAACTGACAACACCGCATAGGTGGCAAGTTCTGGAATTTACCATTTGAGTGTAAAGGCACAATAGAAACGCTAGCATAGAATTCTTGGCCCTTAAGTTCAACATGAACAAGCTACCTACTTTTTTTCAAGTTTTTATTAAAATTCTAGTTAGTTAACAGATATGGCAAAATGGTTTCAGGTTTAGAATTTAGTGTTTCATCACTTACATATAACACCTGTGCTCGTCACAAGTGCCCTCCTTAATACCCATCACCCATTGAGCCCACCCACTACTCCTACCTCCCACCATCAAACCTCAGTTTCTTCTCTAAAATTAAGAGTCTCTTATGAGTTACTTTTTTATCCTTCCTGTATATTCATCTGTTTTGTTTCTTAAATTACACATGAGTGAAATCATATGGTATCTGTCTTTGACTGACTTATGTTACTTAGCCTAATTAACTCTAGCTCCATCCATGTTATTGCAAATGGCAAGATTTCACTTTTTTGATGGCTGAGTACTATTCCACTGTGTATATATTACCACATCTTCTTTATCCATTCATCAGTCGATGCACATGTGGGCTCTTTCCATAGCTTGGCTATTGCTGACAGTGCTGCTATAAACATTGGGGTGCATATGCCCCTCTGAATCTATATTTTTGTATCCTTTGGATAAATACCTAGTAGTGCAATTGCTGGGTCATGGGGCCATTCTGTTTTTAACTTTTTGAGGAACCTCCATATAGTTTTCCAGAGTGGCTACACAAATTTGCATTCCGACCTTTCTCACCAACCTCTGTTGTTGACTGAGTTGTCAGTGTTGTGTCACTGAGTTGTCAACTGGTGTGAGGTGGTAGCTCATTGTGCTTTGATTTGTATTTTCTTGATGATGAGTGATGTTGACCATCTTTTCATTTGTCTGTTAGCCATCTGGATGTCTTCTTTGGAAAAGTGTCTGTTCATGTCTGCTGCTTACTTAACTGAAGTATTTATTTTTTGGAGTGTCAAGTTTCGTACGGTCTTTATAGATTTTGGATACTAACCCTTTATCCGATATGTTAAATGCAAATATCTTCTCCCATTTGTTTGTAAATGACATATTCTGAACTACCTATTGAAACACAACTATTTCAGCTGTTCACTTTTTACTGAACTGCATTTTTTTTTAATGTTTTATTTATTTCTGAGAGAGAGAGAGAGAGAGACAGTGTAAGTGGGGAAGGTCAGACAGAGAGGGAGATACAGAATCTGAAACAGGCTCCAGGCTCTGAGCTGGCAGTCAGCACAGAGCCCAACGAGGGCCTCGAACCCACGACGTGGGGCTCGAACCCATGAACTGTGAGATCATGACCTGAGCCGATGTTGGACGCTCAACCGACTGAGCCACCCAGGCACCCCTACTGAACTGCATTTTAATATGGCTGTAAAAGCTTTCATCAATGAGGTAAAATAATTACCACATTTGCTACAGATGTTAATGCTCTAGTAATATACTCAATGCACCTAATCTAAAGCTCCATACTGTAGGACAGAAATCTTTGAAAATTGAAACTATACTTTAACAGCTTAAAATACCTATGATTAAAACTATTTTGTGTCCTGCTTTATTTTATTTTTGGTTTCCAGGAAACTAATTTCCTGATCCTAACTGTCTATTCATATACTTATTTTAGTACTTATGGACTTGTTATAAGCTAACTCAAATATTTATTTATCCCATGCTTTGTTCCAGAATTTCACTTAATTATTCCCAAGTCTATGAACAGAATGCTTAATATCATCATTTAAGAAGAGATCCAATAAAAAAAAAGTGATACATAAAATGTGTACAAAATAATAAGACCCCTTATTTATCTCACCCTGTTACACAAAGTATATAAATGTCCAAACAATATATGTTAAGGATTTAAGCAAAAACACACCTGTACATGAAAACCAACCAAGAAACCAACAAATTCCAAACTATGACCTGAGAAATTCTTGAGAAAAAGGTGTAAGATAAAATGTCTTCTAAAAGATACATATTTAACAAGTTAAATGATTAAAGATAATTAGTCATAAGAAAAGTATAATTATCATTGTATAGTCTGACTCTATCAAATAATTCTGGAAGTGGAGAGAAAATGATTCTTTAAAAAGAATGAGGTAAAGTATCAGTAAATACATAATTTTTGAATAAAATAATTTTCGAATAAAAATTTCATGTCCAAAATGACTGTAACAATTTTTAAATTAGCAAAATAAATGTAGCTAATTCTGTTCATTTTCATACAACCTTTGACCAATTAATTAGTACACATATTTTTAAAAATATAAACCCTTTGGGGCGCCCGGGTGGCTTAGTTGGTTAAGCGTCCGACTTTCACTTGGGTCATGATCTCGCGGTTCGTGGGTTCGAGCCCCGCGTCAGGCTCTGTGCTGACTGCCAGCTCAGAGCCTGGAGCCTGTTTCAGTCTGTGACTCCCCCTCTCTCTGACCCTCCCCTGCTCACGCTGTCTCTCTCTCTCTCCCCTAGAAATAAAATAAAAACATTAAAATAAATAAATAAAAAAAATATAAACCCTTTTATTTATCTCAAGATGAATTTTCTAGAACTTAAAGGTCTTATTTAAAAAATTTTTTAAATTTATTTTGAGAGAGAGAGAGGGAGCGAGCAAGTAGGGGAGGGGTAGAGAGAGAGACAGTGAGTGGGGAGGGAGGAGAAAGAGAGGGATGGGGGAGAGGGAGGGACACAGAGGGAGAGGGAGAGAGAGGGAGAAGGAGGGAGAGGGAAGGAGAGGGAGGGAGAGGGAGGGTAGAGAGAGAGACAGTGAGTGGGGAGGGAGGAGAAAGAGAGGGATGGGGGAGAGGGAGGGACACAGAGGGAGAGGGAGAGAGAGGGAGAAGGAGGGAGAGGGAAGGAGAGGGAGGGAGAGGAAGGGAGAGGGAGAGGGAGGGAGAGGGAGAGAGAGAGAGGGATACTTAATACTTAATAGTATTATGAAAGGAAAGATACCTTTTTTCAAACAAGGATATCGGAATAATTTTATAATTCCATAGTCATCAGCTGTAACTAAAACTTGGCCAATATAATTTCCATCTACTGAATTTATATCATTGATATCTGAATACTTGGGCCAAATTCCATTTACTTCAAGGCCTGAAACACATGTCCATGAAGCCCAGTGAACACCTTTTATTTCTTCTTTGTTTGTCACTTCTTTTCCTCCTAAAAATAAATCATAGTCTTAGTTTAAAAAGTTATTTCATTTTTCTCAAGCAATAATTGTAATAGTATGTAAACTCTAAAATTTAAATATCTTCCCACTACAGTGAAAGGAGAGTATTATGAATAGTTACGTGAATATGATAAGGAGAGAAGAAAATTAAATGCAAGGAAACTATTTAAAAAGCCACTACCCAAATTACAGACACAGAAATTTGATCTGAAGTAGCTTAGCAGATTCACTCAAGTGGAGAATAAACATGAACCCTACTAAAATCATGGCAGATTAGTCACAACACGGTTAGTCAGAAGAATAAGTAAAAGCTATAAGAAAGTGGCAAATCAACTATTAAATAAGAAACCTAAGAATATACATGGTTGAGAAAAAAAGAAAACTGAAAGGGACCAAGAAGGAAGGACGGCCAGGGAGTAACACAGTAACATTAGGGATCAGGACTTTAGGATTCGGTCACTTTTCATGTTATTACACATAGGTAATAACAAAACTTTTGGAGAGATGCATTCATTTAATTACGCAGCTAGTCTTATTAAATAAGTTGTTGGGAAACAGTGACTAAGTTTCTACTAAATGAAGTACTGAGAGATCATATTTTGAGGGTGCTTTAATTCTGTTAAAAATCTTCGCTGGAAACTCTTGCTTCTCAAATTTAGTTTGTTAGTTATAAAATAGACATTTGCAAAATTTATTTGAGGTAACCACAAAAAAAACAAAGAATTTAGGGTCAGACCTTGTTCGCAATTATATTTAATCAATCAGTTCCACCCATAAAAATGGCACTTTGACTTTGTAACACACAGTAGGACTTTACCAAATACTCCTCACACAGCATGGATTTGACATAAAGTAGGTCTTTTTTTTTTTTTTTATGTTTTATTTATTTTTGAGAGAGAGAGAGACAGCGTGAGCAGAGAAAGGTCAGAGAAAGGGAGACACAGAATCTGAAGACAGGCTCCAGGCTCTGAGCTGTCAGCACAGAGCCCGACGCGGGGCTCAAACCCAAGAACCGTGAGATCATGACCTGAGCTGAAGTTGGATGCTCAACTGACTGAGCCACCCAGGCACTCCTAAAGTAGGTCTGCCTTAGATCCTCCAAGCAAAGAAGTTTTAATCAAGAACCAAAAGGATTTCAATAGGGCAACCTTATAGAAAAGATTATAATGCCTGAAATATAAGCTCAGATCTTCATTAATTTCCTATAATCAAATGTATTTTACACCCTACTTCTCATCAAATTTTAAAATATTTTACAAGTACTAAAACTCTATAAACAATAATATTAATTTATTAGAAACTTAGAAACTTTTACCTGGCATCCTATAAAAAAATCTTTTACCGTTTCCATCATTTGTCTGTAAATATCTACTGTCTGAGGACCAGTCAAGATGAGTGATGAAACTAAGTGATCCAACACATTCCCCACACTTTTTGTAACGTTGTGCAACGCCATAGACATCAACGGAGCTGTCATTGCATCCAACAGCCAAGTAAGTTCCATCTGGGGAATATTTTAACTCATGAATTGCCTCCTTCCTGTCTTTAATATGTACAACTTCGGTCATATCTCTGTAAAGAAAAAATAATTAGACCACACGAAAACAAGTCATTTGAGAGTTTAGTTTTCCAATGTGTCTAAAGTGAGTATGAGGCTATATCAAGTATTTACAAATTATAAGACAAATATAAATGAGATAAATATTAGTTCAGGAAAAAATGTTTTGTTGAACAGAAATATATGAGAACAAAATCTGCTAGAAGTAGAAGAAAATGCTGCATTTTAGCTCTTTAATTACATAAAGATTTAAAGTCTAAAGTTCCATACAATAAGGAAATAAAAGCACAGATTTTTATGATCAAGTTCCTTGGAAATACCGAGTTTATGAAAAATCCTTAATTACAAACACTGTGACTTTCAAATAAATTTTTGTAATAAGATAAATGTGTAAAATTACAATCAGGAAATAAAGAAAAGAGGAATTGATTTGTATTATTTCAGTAAGACATCTGAATGTATATCTTTATATAGCTACCACTAGTCATTTTTATTTTAATCTTTTTAACCTTTTTTAATACAGTACAAATTCTCCCCCAATTAGAGACCATGTCAAGTAAAAATAAACGATTTTTTCAATGATGCCTTATAACTGAGTTTTAGTTGGGGACATGCTGTATTACAGACGCCTTTGCGACAACCAAGTGATGTTAAATAAACAATGGGAAATACGCAGCTGGAGTTCCGAGGAGAGAGCAGGGTGAGAACTACGTTATTTGGAACCATCGGGCTACCGCTGATAACTGACACTGGAGGCAGGTCGAGATTATCTAAGGGAGAAAACACAATGAGAAGAAGAACAAGCCTAGGTGTGAGCTTTGGGGTCCTGCAATACCTACTGGTAGGAAGAAGATAATGAGCCTATAAAGAAAATGGAAGCAGAAGTAGGCTAAAAAACAGAAAGAGTATAACACCCAAAGTCTGAGAAGAGGATGTTTTGAAAAGGAGCAGGTGGTTAAGGGGGCCAAATACAGCTGAGAATCAATGAAGACTGAAAATGTTTCCTGGTCTTAGTGACAGGGTGCTATTACCAAGAGGTTTTCTTTTTCTTTTTTAAAATTTTATTTATTTTGTGAGAAAGAGAAAGAGAGTGTATCAGCATGAGCAGGGGAGGGGCAAAGAAAGAGGGAGAGAGAATCCCAAGCAGACTTGGTGCTGTCAGCACAGAGCCCAACTAGGGACTCGGTCTCCCGAACAATGAGATGGTGACCTAAGCTGAAATCAAGAGATTACGCTTAACCAACGACGGAGCCACCCAGGCAACCCCTATCCTCATCCTTTTAAAGGTGACATAATGTGGTAGTGACACTCTCAGAAAGAGACAAATGGCTAGCCACTGGTAGAATCTAAAATGACAATGTTTTTACAACCAAAGCCTATTCCATACTCTGCAGGAAACCTTACTTTATCCCCCAGGGAATTTATTAACTATGCTTATGAAGCTCTTCTGCTAAAGTCTTCCTAACTACTCATGAGAATAAATGAGTGCGTCTGATGAGTTTGGTATGTATCACACCATGCAGACCACCATAAGTCAAAGTTTTATAGGTATATATCTTCTAATTTTAAAAATATTTGCATTTTTCATTTAATTCCATGATATTAATGTTTCTTTTAATATAAAATTGGTTAACATTTTTTATCACAAGGAAGAGAGATGCTCTAGAAATTATGTAACTTTGTGCTGGCACATACCCTGTACCCCAATTTAAGAATCAATGTGGGGGCTGCCTGGGTGCCTCAATTGGTTGAACATCCAACTCTTGCTTTCAGCTCAGGTCATGATCCCAGGGTCATGGGATCAAGCCCTGTGTGGGGCTCTGCACTCAGCATAGAGTCTGCTTAATATTCTCTTTACACCCCCTGCCCCTCTTCCCCATTCGTGCACACACTCTCATGCACATGCTCATTCTCTAATAAAAAAAATTTTTTTTTAAATAAAAAAGAATCAGTGTGTTAGGGGGCACCTGGCTGGCTCAGTTGGTTAAGCATCCAACTCTTGATCTCAGCTCAGGTTTTGATCTCAGGGTCATGAGTTCAAGCCCCACAATGGGCTCCATGCTGGGCATGGAGCCTACTACTACTACTACTACTAATCAGTGTGTTAGATTCTAATCTATTCAATGTACCTCCAATCATCACTGATCCGGTGAGGGTACTTTAGTACTGTTACACTTATGAATTTTGCTTTATGATATGGAGAATATATACCACAAACCAAGAAGAAACAGTGGCCAGCTAAATTTAGGATTAAGAAAATTGAGTTAAAATTTTATGGTTAATCACCACTCCGGTGATCCTGTCAGCATGTTAGACTCAGTTGCTTAAACCCTGACTTATTAGAAATAAGGACTTATTCACCTAGTTACTTGCACATAATAATTGAAAGGGTAAGTGGGGCGCCTGGGTGGCTTAGTCGGTTAAGCATCCGACTTTCGCTTAGGTCATGATCTCACGGTTCGTGGGTCGAGCCCCGCGTCGGGCTCTGTGCTGACTGCCAGCTCAGAGCCTGGAGCCTGTTTCAGAGTTTGTATCTCCCTCTCTCTCTCTCCTAGAAATAAATAAAAATATTTAAAAAAAAAAAAAGTGAACCTAGATGTCACCCTTTCACAAAGTGACTCTGACTCACCAAAAACAAGCATATCATCCTACATGTTTTCAGAATTCTGTGATTACCTTGTGTAATTATACTTATGACACTGAAGTGTAATCGTCTATTTACTTTAATTCCTCTAATAAATTATATGCTCTCTGAGGACAGGGATGGCATCTTGTTTACTCTTATCCCTAGTGCCTGGCACATAGGATATATTCATTAACTATCTGGAGAAAGAAAGAAAGAAAGGAAAAGAAAAACAAAGATCATATGTGCCTTTACTATGTCTGTACACTTGAGTTGGAATACTAGGTTACAGAAGAGGGAAGAAGAATACTGAAGAAAATGAGAGGGCATTAAACATGATTCCAGCCCTTATAATTATAAAAGGGGACAAAAGTGTGATGTACAGAATATATAAATAAAATTAAAAAAAAAAAAAGAAAGGTAAGTAAATGTACAATTAACTAAATAATCACTATTTTTAATGATACAAGCTAAACAAGAGGAACTCTTAGAGGCTTTACAAGCATCTTAAATTCTTGGTTGCAAAACAATGTAAATGTGCTTAATGCCACTGAATTTTGAAAGATGGTTAAAATGGTAAATTTCATATTACATATATTTTATCACAATTTTAAAAGTAGTACAAGAGAAAAATCTCACCATATCTCATTGTAAAACTCTGTCACAGGAAAAACAGTGTCTACAGAAACTGAGAAGTACAAGAGAACATGAGGTATCTGAAGAGGCGAAAGATGTTTTATACAGTTGAAATAGAGAAACAGACAGGCAGAGGCTAGAGACGGGCACTCCTGGCTATGTTAAGGATTATGAACTTCAACTTAAGGACAGTGCTAAGCTTTCATCATATTTTAGAAAGAGGAGGATTGCAAACAAATGTGTTTTAAAAGAGTGAACCAAAGAGTGAATAAGAAAAAAAAAACCTGAGGGAAGCAACACAGGAGGTAAGGAGACCAGCTGAGACTCTACTAGGAGACTGCAGAAGCCCACTCAAGAGTACAATGGTGAGAATGGGAGGGAGCAGATTAATTTGAAAACCACTCAGGAGGTAGATTCTCCAGAACTCTGGGATTAACTAGACAAGGGAGGCCATAGAAATGAATTAATGGTTTCTGGACTGGGCAACTGTAAAGATGGTCCTACCATTCACTAAGCTAAGAGGAAGGATTTCAGAAGTATGTATGCTTGTGAATATGCATGGATCTATAGCAAAGTTTCTAACAGCTATATAGAATTCAATTGAATGCACCACAACTAAAATTCAACACAACATGTTAACTGCTTTAACAAATTCTTTTAGCTTTTCTAATGATGCAAACAAAAATGTAGACATTTTTCTTTCAAAGAATAAAGCTGCAAATAACAAAAAACCTTCACCCATTTTTAACTGCCCCAAGGGCACCCCCACCCACCAATGGCAGAGGATCATTACTGAAAATCAATACTACCAAGGAATGAAAGTCCAAACCCAAATTTGTAGCTCAAATTTTTAGCCATCAATCCACTAAACACTCTTAACGCTTAAAACCAAAGTTCTTGAGTTAACCACTTTCTGACAAAGCCATTTTTATAAAAATATTTACTATTCAATAAACCACAGTCAGATATTTATATACATGTGTATGTGTATACATATTAATAAGAAGTGAAGGGGGAAAGGAAATGAGTAAAAAAAAAATGAGTATTACATATTCTCACTTAATAGAAAATTTACTGTTTTTATTTCTACTCCAATACCATACCTTACTCTAAGTACAGTGAAGGAGCCATCCTTCATTCCAAGGGCAAGATGGATCCCATCTACATTCACAGCTGCACAACGAATTGGTTCTTCCATATTACACCTTGCTATTAGGGCATGATCTACTAGGCTCCATATCCTGTAACAATTAAAAGAATAATTAACTACTGTATGCTTAAAAAAATGATGAATTCTATGAGAAGATTTTGATTAAAATAATCATCTCATCTTAAGAAAGTAATATAAATCTAGATTTTTAACAATTGGTTTGTGAGAAGGGTTCTTATCTATGAAAATAGGAACACTGTTCATATTTTAATTTTTTTTATTTTTTTTAATTTAAATATTTTTATTTATTTCTAGGAGAGAGAGAGAGAGAGAGACAGCGTGAGCAGGGGAGGGTCAGAGAGAGAGGGAGACACTGACTCTGAAACAGGCTCCAGGCTCCAAGCTGGCAGTCAGCACAGAGCCCGACACGGGGCTCGNGGGCTCTGTGCTGACTGCCAGCTCAGAGCCTGGAGCCTATTTCAGAGTCTGTATCTCCCTCTCTCTCTGACCCTCCCCTGCTCACGCTGTCTCTCTCTCTCTCTCTCCTAGAAATAAATAATAAAAGTATTTTTAAAAAATAAATAAAAATTCTCATTAAGAAAACAACAATTTAAAAAAGGATGAGAAACAGTGAATTAGATAATAACCATCAGTGGCTGCTAATATAATTTTAAACGACTACATATTAGATACCATCAAACATGGATACATATTACCATCTAGGAAATATTCTTGGTTATAGTTCATAACTGCACCTCATCAAATCTCTACTTACCAGTTTATATACTAAAGGGAAGACAGAATGTATTAAAATACAGTGAGTGTGCAAGTTAGCCAAATTCAGAATGTGGGGATCTCTGGAAGGTGAATATTTAGTTTCTTCAACAAATAAACTTAAGAATAATAAAGGGGGAGGGAGGAAGGAAGCTACAGAGAAAGATTTAAAGGACATATCGACAACTGTAATATATGGACCTTCATTGGAGCCGATCTCTAAGAACTCAAAGGAATGACGTGTGAAAGCAGTATTGTGGTGATATTTAAAGTTACCCTTTAGAGACACAAATAAAAATATTTACAGGTGAAATGGGGGAAAAAACAATGACAAGGTGGAAAAATAACTATCAACCAGTTCTTAAAATTTAGATTAAAATATCACATCCACTTGGAAGACTTGTTAAACCACTTTTTTTTTTTTTTAATTTTAGACACAGAGCACAAATGGGGGAAAGGGGCAGAGAGAGAGAGAAAGAGAGAGAAAGAGAAAGGGGCAGAAGGATGTCTTAAGCAGGCTCCATGCTCAGCATGAAGCCCAACATGAGGCTTGAGCCCATGGTCCTGGGATCATGACCTGAGCTGAAATCAAAAGTCAGGCGTTCAACCGCCGGACTAAGCCATCCAGGCACCCCAGGTTAAACCACAAATTGCTGAATTTCTGAGATTAGGTCCTGGAAAAGGCAGGAGAATTTGCATTTCTTATAAAGAATATTGATGCTGCTAGTCCAAGAACCACACTTTGAGAACCACTATCATAGAGAATTTAATTTCTTTAAAATATAAATGGATATTAGATAATATTTTAAAGTAGTTAGAGAAAGACCAATGAACTAATAGAAAATAGGCAAAGAGCTTGAACAGACAGGTCAGAGAAAAGGAAATACAAATGTCCTCTAAACATAAGTAAACATACTCAATATGAGAGAAATGAGTGTTTTCACAGCATAACAAGAGACCATTTCTTACCTTTTGGGATAGTAACAGTGCTGCCATGGGTATGGGAAAATTGGCACTGCCATATATTGCTGACAGGCATATAAACAGTTATTGCCTCTAAGTAAGGCATTATCAAAGTTTAAAATGCATACGTCATTTGAACACTAAGAAGTTCCATAGAGATATGCATATTTACACATGTCCAAAATAGCATAGGTAAAAGGACATTCATTGCAAGGACTGTATTCAATAGCACAAAACTGTAAGAACCTAAATTTTCATCAGTAATAGACCAGGAAGATGGTAGAATGGAGGATCCTGAGCTTACCGCTTTGCGTGTACACATGGAGGCAATAGCTACATATAATGCAATTCACTCTGAATATAACCTGAAGATTAACAAGACAGACTGACTACAGCTAAAGACATAAAGTAGCAATCAAAATGGGAAGGGAAGGAGGAGCAGAGACATAGTCAGGTACCACACCCCCAGCACAAAAAGCCACAAACAGGAGGGATCTTCCAGGTACAGATCCACCCTGAGGGCCAAGGGAATCAAGCCCGACATCAAGTACCCCAGGCCCTCAGTATGTGAGTGGAAAGATAAGCCCCTATAACGTCTGGCTTTGAAAGTAAGTGGGGCTTAACTCCAGCAGCTTTGAAAATCAGCAAGACTTAACTCCAGGAGAGCCAGATGGCTTTGGGAATTAAGACTCTGATCTTAAAAAGGGACCAGCACACTTCATCACTTGGTCAGAGACCCACCACAGAAGTAGCAGCTTGAAAAGCACCTGGGTTATATCTGAAAGAGATTTACTGACTAATTTTAGGATGCATGCTGGAGGGGCAGGAATCTGTAGGAGCTTTGTCCGGGTACGGAAGTGTGAGCAAGTACCATCTTCTTGCCCTCCTTCAGCCTGACACTCTACATCTATCTTACTAGCACCCCTTCCCTGCAGCAGGGATCCACTATGCACTCACCTCACCCAGCCTCCCTGCTCCTGCAGGTGCCTGGACGAAGTGACTCCTACTCTACCACACCTGGTGAGCAGCCTCAGCCAGGGCGGGTGTCTCCCCAAAGTGACACCCACCCTGCCACACCTGGTGGGGAGCCTAGGCCAGACAAGCACCCCTCCAAAATTATTCTTGCACCAGAGGAGGGGAGGCAGCCCCACCCAAACAGCATTCCCAGATCAGATGTGGCACAATCACAATAAGAGGGTGCACATGGCTCACACAGGGGACGTCTCTGGACCTGGTTTTGGTGTCGGGGGGAGACTGCACTACTGGGCCCTGCAGGACACCTTCGACATAAGGCCACTATGTAGACCAGGAAAACCCAGGAAATGTAGCTGAACTACCTAATACACCGAAATAAACTCAGGTCAGACAAAATGAGGAGACAAAGAAATATCAATATATTCCAAAATGAAAGAGTAAGACAAAACCTCAGAAAAAGAACTAAGTAAAGTGGAAGAAAGCAATCCATATGATGAAGAGTTCAAACTAATGCTCATAAGGATGCTCACCAGACTTCAGTGAAGACTGGATGAACTTACTGAGAACTGGACAACTTTTTCTACCATACACAAAAATTAGCTCAAAATGTAGTAAAGACCAAATGGTAAAACCTGAAACCATGAAACTACTAAACGAAAATCTAAGCAGTAAATTTGGACTTGGACATCAGCCTTAGCAATATTTTTCTGGATCTGTCTCCTCAGGTAAGGAGAAATAAAAATAAAATAAAAAGAAACAAAAATAAAAACAAAAAATAAACAATTGGAGCTACATCAAAAAGCTTTTCCACAGTGAAACCATCAACAAAACAAAAAGGCAACATACCGAATGGAGAAAATATTTATAAATGATATCTCCAATAAGGAGTTAATATCTAAAAATATAAAGAATTCATACAACTCGACACCAAAGGAAATTCAATTTAAAACTGGACAGAGGACCTAAATAGACATTTTCCCAGAGAAGACATCCATATGGCCAAAAGACACATGAAAAGATGTTCAACATTACTCAGCATCAGGCAAATGCAAATCAGAGCCACAATAACATAATCACCTCCCCCTTGTCAGAATGGCTAGTGTCTAAAGACAAGAAATAACAGGTCTTAATGAGAAAAGTAAACCCGTGCGTCCTACTGGTGTGAAGGTAAATTGGTACAGCCACTAAGGAAGCAGTTTCAAAAAATTAAAAGCATTAATCCTATATAAACCAGTAACTGCACTTCTGGGTACTGATTCAAAAAAAACCCAAAAACAAAAATTCAAAAAGATACATGTTACTGCCATTTTCATTCCTGCATTATTTACAACAGCCAAGATATGGAAATAACCTAAGTATTCACCAACATATTAACATATAAAATTGGCAAAGAAAAAGTCAAACTTCTACTCTCCACAGATGCCATGACACTCTACATGGAAAATGCAAATAACTCCATCAAAAAATCTCTAGAACTGACACATGAATTCAGCAAAGTTGTAGGATATAAGATCAACGTACAGAAACTGCTGCATTTCTATACACCAGTAACGAAGCAGCAGAAACAAATTAAGGAATCAATCCCATTCATTTTTTTTTTTTAAAGATTTTTTATTTGAGAGAGAGCATGCAACTGGGAAAAGGACAAAGAATGGGAGAGAGAATCCCATGCAGGCTCCACACAATCAACATGGTGTCCAATGTGGGGCTTGAACTTTTCACAAACCGTAAGACCAGACCTGAGCCAATGTTAGACACTTAACTGAATGAGCCATCTAGGTACCCTTCAATCCCATTTACAATTGTACAAAAAAACTATAAGATATCTAGAAATATTCTTAACCAAAAAGGTAGATCTGTACTCTGAAAACTATGAACACTTATGAAAGAAATTGAAGAAGACACAAAGAAATGGAAAAACATTCCATGCTATGGATTGGAAGAACAAATATTGTTAAAATGTCTATGCTGCCCAAAGTAATCTACACATTCAATACAATCCCTATCAACATAACACTAGTATTCCTCACAAAGCTAGAACAAATAATTCTAAAATTTGTATGGAACCAGAAAAGACCCCAAATAGCCACAGCAATACTGAAAAAGAAAAGTGAGAGATATCATTATTCCACACTTCAATCTATATTATGAAGCTGTAATCATCAAGATAGTATGGTACTGGTACAAAAATAGACACATAGACCAATGGAACAGAAGAGAGAACCCAGAAAGAGACCCACAACTATATGGTCAACTAACCTTTGGCAAAACAATAAAGAATATCCAATGGAAAAAAGACAGTCTCTTCCCAAATGATACTGGAAAAACTAGACAGCAACATGTAGAAGAATGAAACTGAACCCCTTTTTTATACCACTCACAAAAATTAAATCAATATGGTAAAAGACCTAAATGTGAGAAAGGAAACCATTAAAATCCTAGAAGAGAACAAAGGCACCAACTTCTTTGACTTTGGCCATAGCTACTTCTTACTAGATACATCACCATAGGCAAGGGAAACAAAAGCAAAAATAAATTACTGGGACTTCTTCAAAAGATAAAAAGTTTCTGCAAAGCAAAGGAAACAATCAGCAAAACTAAAAGGCAACCTACAACAGGGGAGAAGATATTTCCAAGTGACATATTGGATAAAGGGCTAGTCTCCCAAATCTAAAAGAACTTATCAAGCTCAACATTCAAAAAATAATAATAATAATCCAGTGAAGAAATAGGCAAAAGACATGAACAGTTTTTCAAAGAAGACATCTATATGACTAACAAATCAAACTACAAATCAATACCTCACACCAGTCAGAATAGCTAAAATTAACAACTCAGGAAACAACAGAGGTTGGCAAGGATTCAGAGAAAGGGGAACCTTCTTACACTGTTTGTGGGAAAGAAAACTGCTACAGCCACTCTGGACAACAGTGCTCTGCAGCTTCTTCAGAAAGTTAAAGATAGAACTACCCTACAACCCAGCAATTGAACTACTAGGAATTTACCAAAGGGATACAAACACACTGATTTGAAGAGGTACATGCACCCCAATGTTTATAGCAGCACTATCAACAATAGCCAAATTATAGAAAGAGCCCAAATATCCACTGACTGATAAATGGCTAAAGAAAATGAGGTGTGTACACACACACACACACACACACACACACACACACAGACAGAGGAATATTATTCAGCCATCAAAAAGAATAAAATCTTGCCATTTGCAATGACGTGGATAGAACCAGAGTGTATTATGCTAAGTGAAATAAGTCAGTCAGAGAAAGACAAATACCGTATGATTTCATGCATATGTGGAATTTAGAAAGCAAAACACATGAACATGGGGGGGTGCGGAAAGAGAGACAAATAACTACAGAGAACAAACTGAGGGTTGCTGGTGGAGGGTGGGAGGTTGGTGGGGTGATGGGCTAAATGGCTGATGGATAAAGGAGGACAATTGTTGCAATGAGCACTGGGTGTCATATGTAAGTGATAAATCACTAAATTCCACTCCTGAAACCAATACTTCGTGTTAACTAACTTGAATTTAAATAAAATCTTGGAAAGAAAAAAAAAGATTAGTGGATAAACAAGGTATGGTAAATATATGAAATAGACTATTAATTGGCCATAAAAAATAATGAAATCTTGCCTTTTCCAACAACATAGATGGACCTAGAGGATATTAAGCTAAGTCAAATAGGTCAGGAAAAGGGAAATACCATATGATTTCTTACATATGTAATCTGAAAAACAAAACAGAAACAGATTCATAAATACATAGAGAGAACAAATGTCATTGTCAGAGGGGAAGAGGATGGAGGTATGGGTAAAGTAGGGGAAGGAGATTAAGAGATATAAACTTTCGGTTATTTATTTTTTAATTTTTTTTATGTCTTTATTTTATTTTGAGAGACAGAGACAGAGCAAGCAGGGGAGGGGCAGACAGAGAGGGAGACACAGAATTCGAAGCAGGCTCCAGGCTCTGAGCTGTCAGCACAGAGCCCGATGCGGAGCTCGAACCCAAAGACTGTGAGATCATGACTTGAGCTGAAGTTGGACGCTTAACCGACTGAGCCACTCAGGCGCCCCTAAACTTTCAGTTATAAAATAAGTCACAAGATGAGAAGTACAGCATAAGGAGTATAGCCAATACTGTAACAACTTTAGCGATGACAGATGATAACTATACTCATTGTGGTCAGCATTTAGTAAAGTATATAATTGTTGAATCACTATGTTATACATCTGAAACTAACGTTAATACTATATGTCAACTATAATTTTAAAAAAATGGTATAGTTGAATAAATTACAGTATATCTATGCAGTGGGATATTTTATGACTACTAAAAAGATAGAGATGGCTGTGTCTGTGTTGACAGGGAACAATCTTCAACTTATGTTAAGAGAAAAGAAATCTTGTAAGTTGTTAATTCTATTAAATACCTATTATGTTCATTTGTTATACTGTAAGCTGTTAATATTTAAATCAAAGTATTTTTATTAAGTTTCTCTTACGTTTTTCTAAGGACAAACTCTAGCATAGCAATTGTGGTATGATCTGCTTACCTGACTGAACGATCATCACTTCCAGTCACAGCCAAAGGTTTTGTAGGATGAACAGCAAGTGCCCAAAGTTCACCTTCACAATGCCCTTGCATAATTAGGAAAGGTTTATTCCTTTCATGCACCACAATTTCGAAAATTTCACTGTCCTGTGTTCCAACTAGAATGTGGTCACCCCGCCAGCAAACACTCCTCACAGACAGACCTAGTCAAAAGTAAATTATATTTAAGATCAGTGCTGTAATAATATAATGCCAATCTGCTAAATGAATTTAATTTTTTACCTTTTATCCCTTAAATGTAAGATAAAAGAAATCTCCAAGTCTTTGATCTATATATACATTTTCTTCAACTACCACTTTGCTGTGTGTAATGATAGTTTTCTTTTTATATACCTAATATCTATCCATCCTTCAAAACATCCATTCTTCTTTCTCATAGCCAAGTCCAGTCATAGTCTGACCACTTCTTCAGCCAAAGTCATATAACACAGTCTGCAGCATCTCAAAATTAATTAAGCAGGAACTACAAAGTAATTGTATTATTTTTCTCCTTATAATAATCTGACTCTTCATGTGTCTATATTTCATTCCTTCCATCTGCTCACCAAATCATTAAAAAGAGAGACTTCCACTTTTCCTATATATTCCACAATCCCTTTTATATAACCTTAGGAAGCTAGTGTTTCTCTACTTTCTCATCTGTATTACGTGGCCAACATAAAGATGCTGTGAACTTTACAATGTTCTTGTAAAGGCCAAATAGGACAAAGTGTCAAATTATTTTGCAAACTAAGGTACAATGCTCCACAAAACGAATGAAAACAGTACAACAGTTAACATTTACTAGATGATTATTATGTGCCAGACACTCTTCTAAACATTTTACATACATTATGTGGGAGCCCGACAGTGACCACAAGAAAGCGTGGTTAGGGACGCGGGGATGTGCCTGCACACGGGGCTCCCTAACTGGGCAAAGCATGCCTGCAAACAGGGTGCTCTGCCAGGAGGCCTGCACACAATATCCAAGTTTAATGGTCCGCTCGCAAACGAGGGAACATGCCCTCCTTAGAAATAAGGAGGAGGCTGGAATTGTGAGCAGGCCTCTTAGTAAACATGTTGTGGTCGCTTCCTCCCCTTGCTCCCCCCTGTCCTTGAAATGTGTTTGGCTACATGCCCTTAATTGGTAAAGGAATGCATCTTGTAGATTTCAGTTTGTATCCAGTTACCGGGTATAAAATAAACCGCAAGAGGGGCTTGCGTAGAATTGTTCTTCCGGCCAGAGTTGTGTCTGTGTCTGTCTTTTGTGTGTGTCTTGTCCTCTGTGTCATTTCGTCCACAACACATTAAATTAGGTCATTTAATACTAGGAGACAGTCTTATTCTCACTTATGGACGAGATTAAATATGTAGCCCAAGGTCAGCCACCTAGTAAGTGACTGAAATAAGGCTTAACCACAGACCTCTGCAACTTCCAAGCCTAAGCACCAGGCTAGTGAATAAGACTTTTATTTTTATTGTGAAAGGCTGTTTTATTATATCAATTTAAGTCCCTAAAGAAGAAAATATCTCCCAATTGCTGACAAATCTGGAAAAAGGAAAAACGCATATATATACATTTAAATCATCCTGAACAAAACTTTCCTCAACCCTCAACATATTTTATTTTCAACAGTTTGCTTGCTAAATAGTTACAGTTAGCATTCTCATAGATAAATATTTTCAACATCCAAGGTTACCTAAGCAAGCACTTATCCCATCTCTCTGTAAATCCCATTATAATAAGCATTAGACATATCAAAGAATCCTTGTCATAACAGTAAACCTAGACTATCTTTAGGCAAACTCTCCTCTTCAATAAAAGGAGTTCAATTAAATCCATACAGTAGGAAGGGGCAAATTTAAGTCTCATTTATACTTACGAAAACTACATTCATGTTTATTAAAAGAAACAGACAATCCTTGCTACATTTAGAATTTGCCTAGTAGTGACACATTTGTTATTACCTTTGTATCCCTGGTCTGTTTCCCTGAGATCAATCACAGTAATCGGTTTAAAAGTTAAATCCCATAGGCGAATACAGCCATCTCTGCCACCAGTAGCAAAGCCTTCTTCACAAGCATTCATACTAAAAATTCCTGCCTAGCAGAGAAAATAAAATGAATTAACAATATGTACTCTTTAAGAAAATCTACTGCATGTAGGTAGAAATCCACTTTAAAGGATTTTGATATGACAAAGCAATCAACAAATATATTAGAAACACAAATGAAAATCTAGAAATAAATCTATGTATATATATATATCAATGTACAATATATGACCAATATGGACATATATAAACATATATAAAGTTAAACCTTATACCACATATAAAAATGAATTGTAGACATTAAATCCTAAATGTAAGAAATAAATGTTAGAAAAGAGTCAAAAGAACACCTTTATAACTTTGAGCTATGAGAGACCTTTTATGCAAGGCAGTTTATCCATAGGCCATGAAGAAAAACAATTAATAATTTTTGTATTACAAAAGATATCATGCAAAGACAAACAGATTGGGGGAATATCTGCAATGAATATGACCACCAAAAGGCTAATACCCTAACATACAAATGAATAAAGAAAATCCGATGACAAAAATAACAAAAAAAAGCAAAGAGTAAGAAAAACCAATTAATAGAAAATTTCAACCGGTCAATAAATATATGAAATTTCACTAAGAGGAAACAAAATCAAAACAAGAAGTTACTGCTTGTCACCCAGAAAACAAGCAAAAATTGACAACACTGGTTAAATCCTGCACTGAGGAATACGAAGAGCAAACTGGTATATTTATATACTGACGATGAAAATTTAAGTTGCTGCAATCTCTGTGGAAAAGAACCTGATATTTCTGGTCTTTTGCTTAAAGAAAGTCCTGTTATAAGTGGTTCTTTAATATATTTAATATGTAACATAATATATACTTAGTGGTTCATATAAATACATTTAATCACTTTTCTACTTGAGATCTTACTGCTCACCACGTGGCAGTTCTGTGCCCCATAGTTCTCTTCACTATGTGAGGGACCCAACTGCTTAAAATCCCTAACCCAAAAAACACTTAAAGGTTTTAACAGATTTTTTCCCAATTTGATAAATCTTGTATATGAAAATCTCATGAATTACACAAATTAAATTCCTTTGCTACTCACTCACTTAATGAAGTAATAATATTAAAATTTAAAAGGTATATTTTTTCTAGAATTGTCCCCAAAATTCCCACTGGTAAATTAGCCACAAGAGTTCTAGCATTATTCTAATGTAGTTAATCTAGAATACTGTTAGGTTGAATTTAATAAACTTTTTAATTAACACTACTCTGAGAAAGATATCAATACCAGAGCAATGGCTTGAACAAGGTAGTAATTGTACTAATTTAATAAATATCTATGTGTCTAATTGTATGTTTCTTTACTGAAATCCTAAAAACAAACAGACAAGTTAATTCAGTTACAACATTTTTCAAGTAACTGAACTGACTAGAAAGTCTGGTATATTATATAATCTTTTACTACAGAACAAGAAGGTAAGCAGTTATCTAAATGTGTTTAAAACATTTAAATATACTTACAGTATGGGCTCCTTGTATTGTCCTTATAAGATTGATTCCTTTCCAAACATATATATCCCCATTAAGTGCACCAGAATATGTTAATTCATCCCTCGCACAGGCCAGGCACAAAATTGTCTGAAGGTCACCAGTTTTACCAAAGACCCCTCGTTTTGGGGTCAGAGCATTTCCACATAAACTCCAGAACTAAAAGGTACACAGTATAATCAAATTACCAAAGAATGCTTATAAAATAAAGTAAAATATTTCTAATACTTTGAAGCTATATTAGATTAGCAGACTAAAAATTACCTAAGAAATTCCCTTATGAAACATTAGCTTTCAAATGTTCACATCCTCATGCTAGTGTTGTCAATAGCTAGATTAGAGCAGATAAGCCACTGGTTTCAATCCTTATCTGTAAGAATAAGGGGAGTGAACTAAATTATTTTAAAAATAGACTATGCTTCCCTTTGGTTTCTGAAAAAAATCTACATGAAACTCAGACACGTAGAAGATTTAGCTATGGGTTAGCAATGAAAATGAAGACAAGACACCACACACCCTTAGGAAAGATAAACAACCTAATGTCCAATCTTTGATGAAGACAGTAAAGATGGAAAAAAAATTGTTCTCACTGCTATTTTCAAAGCTGAGCAAGTCTTCTACTTGTAAAGCTTAAAAGTAAGAGAGATACACATTTGGAATAATTTGTTCATTCTTAGTAGAAAATGGGAAGTCAAACATAAATCTTCATGACCATGGTTTTTATTCTTTTATGTGAATTCAGGTAAATTTTAATAGTTTGTGGAAATAAAAATGGATCAGGGCATGAATATACAGAATAATTTTGCACAAAGAAATGTGTTCCAGGGAATAAAAATTATGATCCTTATCCATTCAATAATGAATGCTTTAATCAATGAAATTTTATAATTTTTCATTCTAAAAGCCCCATGATCCCTGAGTACAAGATAGCTGGTTCTCTTCCTACCAGCAAATCCCTATTTCAACCTACTATTTTCATCTAGGAGTGATTCTCAAATTTGGCTGCACATTAGATTCACCTGAGAGAAATTATAAAACATAGTAAGCCTGGGTCCCCACCGAGATAAACTGAGACAGAATCTCTGGAGAGTCAAACCCAGGTATCCAAAAATTCTGATGCTCAGAGTGAAGTACTCTTGTTACAAAATCAAGATCAATGCTAGCTAATAGAACTTTCTGTGATGATGAAAATATTCTCCCCCCAACACACACACACACACACACACAGTCCAAACAGACTAACCACTCGATACAGTGGATCTTGAGCATTTGAAATGTGATGACTGGGGTGACTGAAGAAGTGATTAAATTTTATTTAATTTTAATTAATTTAAATAGCTACATGTAGCTAGTTGCTACTGTACTGGCCAGTGAAGTTCTAGATCATCTCCGGGACTTAATTTTCTCAAATGTATTGCCTATAAAGACATCTATCATACTTTTCATTGACTCAACCAAAAGAAAGAAATGTAACCCATGGTTAAAAATATAGTTTAATTCAGAAGAATCATTTGTTCAATATCTGAAAATAGAACTTCCAGTTTTATTTATAATACAAAACAGTAATATCTGCTTATTAATTTGCCAATAATTTATTAAGCATTTTATATCAATAACAACAAACACTGTCTTATTCATCACTGATGAAAAACATAAAAATTTCTACCTTTGCAGTGTTTATACTGTGTACCTTAAATCTAGCATAGAGACTTTTGCTACTGAATGTTTGTTAAAGAAATAAAGATATAATACTATTCATTATCAAATCAGTACCAGAATATCAAAACCAGAATTGTAGTGGCAGCTAAAGATGCTCTGGAGAAAATGCAGATGGAAGTATGCACGCCAAAAGAAAGAATGTGAACACAGAACCTTACTTACTAGGAACTGACTGTTATAAGGAACTGTTATATCAGATAGTGGAAGAAAAACAAGTATTTCCAATGTGCACCAGGGATTTAAAAGTAACTGTAAACATAAGAATGAATATCACCATTGACTATATGGGCTTCAAAACCTGAACTATAATTATAAAACAATATTCATATGCTTTTATAAGCATAATAAACACAGACTACCAAAGGCTGAGGTCAAATCAAACAGTAAATATAGAGACAGGAAAAGATAATACTTTCAGAAAGATGACCAGGAGCTATGTGCTAGGAACTGACAAGCTCTTGAATAAATACTGCCTTACTTAATCCAATCTACAAGGATTATATGGATTATATAACGTAACAGCAGCCATATTTTTAAGATGTGAAAAAAGCTCTATGAGGCTATATGACTCATTCCAGGTCAAACAGCTAAGCTGCTAAGTGGCAAAGCCAACTCTGTCCATGCTGCTTCCGTCACACGAACTTATCTCTGTGAAGGAAATCTCTTACTTGGCTTGGTTTCCTATGCTCACATTTTATTCTGTAGGTGAAACACGGGAAAACAAGACAAATGCAATAAAGCCTACTTCACTAGACTATAAATTACTTTATGGAAAGTGTTTTATTCATTTCCTGCTCATACCTATATCCCTCACAGTCCTCACACACAGTAATGATACAATAAATACCTGTTAGGTTGAACATCATAACGTTAAAAATGTTGACATTTTAAAAATAAGCACTGTCAAAATCCTAAGGCTCCCCTAAGTTGTAAATAGTGTGGTGTGTACTTAGTGGCAGAGAGTAAGTATACATGACTATTATAAAACAAGACCTTTCTAGTACCTTGATATGTTTTACACCACAGCTGACAAGTTTATTTGGCTGGTATAAGTCCCAAGAGATATCAAATATCTGTAAACAAATCAGATTTATAGTTAAAATACTTATATCAGAATCACTTAAGAATCCATCCAAAAGACCAAATGTCCCAAAACCCTACCTGTAATAAAACGATATTCCTCAATAAATAATAGAGTCCCACACTTTACAATCTTATGAGAAATAAATATGTAAATGATATGAACAAAAATTATTTCTTAGAGAAAGACAAATACCATATGACTTCACTCATGTGGAATTTAAGAACAAAACACTAATATAGGGGAAAGGGGAAAAAGAGAGAGAAGCAAATCATAAAAGACTCTTTACTATAGAGAACAAACTTAGGGTTGCTAGAGGGGAAATAGGTGGGGGCTGGGCCAAACAGGCCATAGGTATTAGAGAACACTTGTGACGAGCACTGGATATTATTATATGTAAGTGATAAATCACTAAATTCTACTCCTGAAACCAATTTTAGCATATATGTTAACTAAACAGAATTTTAAAATTTGAAATAGAAAAATAAAATATTAAGCAAAAATTATTTCTTAGCTACTATGAACTTTACAAAACAACTGGTGAAGTGAAAATTAATGCCTCTTTTTAATTTTTTAAAAAAATTGGTCCAGGGGCACCTGGGTGGCTCAGTCGGTTAAGTTTCTGACTCTAGGTTATGGTCATGGTCTCATGGTTTCTGAGATGGAGCCCTGGGTCAGGCTCTGGGCTGACAGCAGAGCACCTACTTGGGATTCTCTCTCTCCCCCTCTCCCTCTCCCCACCTCTCTCTCTCACTTTCTCTAATAAGCAAACATTAAAAAAAATAAAACATTTGGTCTAAAAGTCACAAGAATATTGAACAGAACTAGGCCATGAGGCAAGTACCTACATAATTTCTACACAGAAAAGATTCTGAATGGAATATATACTTAACATTTATACAGCTAGAAACAGAGAACTTTTTTTAATGTTAATTTATTTTGGGGGTGGGGGCAGGGCAGAGAGAGTGGAGAGAAAAAAAATCCCAAGCAGTCTCCATGCTATCAGTGCAAAGCCCAATCAGGGCTCAATCTCACTGACTGTGAGATCATGACCTGAGCTGAAATCAAGAACCAGATGCTTAATCAACTCAGCCACCCAGGTGCCCCAAGAAATTTTTTAAGTAATTGAAATAGGTAATGTTTTTATAGATTTCTATCATACAAAACTACTTAAAGAATCCAAATATTTGTTTCACAGTAAAAATTGTTTTATTTTTTAACTTTTTTTATAGTTAATAGGTCAAACAAAATTAACTGATACTTAAAATTTCGAGATCTCAGGCTTCATTTGTGTCTAAAATTCCCAAACTTCTAACAAACCATTTTTGTCACAGTAGCAAACAACAAAAAACCCAGCTGAAATGAAATATGCAATAGAAACATGTACTTTAATAATAAAAAGCATCTGGAAAATAATTTCATAGGAGAAAAAACCAATTCTGTTAGTCTTCACCATGTTTCTTTCAACGCCTGCCTGCATAATCACCTAAGACGCTTATTACCTTTAAAAATGTATAAAATTATACTCTTCAGTAATAATAAGGATTATATCTTATAAATTAATGTTTAACAACTCACCATGACACAAATTATATGAAAACCATATTGATGCAACTTTAAAATACTAACCACAAAAACGCTTCAAAAATTCCAACAGTGCCATTCTTCATAATAATCTATTTACTAAATCCAAAAGTGAAATGCTTTGCTCTAACTCAGAATACACAATTAAAATATACAAACCTCATTTGTTACACTTTAATAATTATCTAAATTGTGTTTGAGTGGGTAACAGGTCTCTTTGAAAATCTGCTAAAAGATGAGTTTATTTTCCAAAATGCAAATACACACAAAATTTTCTATGCTTTTTTAGATACACAGATTAACCCCCTGAAGAGAATCAATGACTATATCCCCTGTGCTGGTTCAGGTTAGAATTTTACTACACACACAAAAAATGAGACATTTTACAAGGCTTATGATAAAGTTTTTGACGTATGTTTATAAAAGTAAATTTAATTAAAAAGCTGACTACAAAGTATTTTTTATGATTAACTTTATCCAGCTTAGAATAAGGAATTTAATTTTAACAAGTTTCCAAAGTAAAAAACATTAGGTCTCTAAAATTTTTAATATGAATATACAATTTTAAATTCACACATGCAATATCATTTTTCACTATAATTGTGATATATGCATAACAAATTAGTGATAAACCAAACTAAGTTGACCCTAGGCATGAACCATTCATCATTTATCCTGAAGCAAACAATGGTTAAAAGTTTTGTGCTAACACTATGCATACTGAGTCATTTTTATTTTTTATTTTTATTTATTTTTTAAAATTTACATACAAGTTAGTTAGAATATAGTCCAACAATGATTTCAGGAGTAGATTTCTTAATGCCCCTTACCCATTTAGCCCATCCCCCTTCCCCTAATCCCTCCAGCCACCCTCTGTTATTTCCATATTTAAGAGTCTCTTAACTGAGTATATTTTTGAGTACTACAATATATACACGTCCTAAAATTTTATGAGTATTTACGGTTGTACTTTAAATTATTAGTTACATATGAACTCTCTAGCAATAACAAAACACAGAAACATAAAATCCTCTGGCTCTCCTCTGGCTTTTTCCCCTTCCAGTACCCAGTAGAAACCCCAAAGGAGAATACTTACTCTATCTGTGTGACCAGGGGCCATAGATAACATTTTTCCCCTTTTCCAATCCCAAACACAAACTGCATTCTTTGAGTCAAGTCCAACTGAAACCAAGCGCTGAATTATATCCAAGAAGTCCATGAGGGAATAAAAAGGCAAATCAAAAAGGAACCAAATTATAAATGGCAAACAAATTCTACTCTGGGCATTATAAACATCAAACTTACACATTTATGTTTTATAGACTTCACAGAGAAAGGCTGGATGTATTTAATCTTGTTAATATTCGCATATGTGTAGTTCTCCACATTAAGAAACAGAAGAGACAGTTCCACTCTAACAGTAGGACTGACAAAATACCCTAAACATCTCTTTTGCCAAAAACTAAAAATGCCAGCTAAAATGTGAAAACATCTTTTTAAATGCACTGCCGAGCTGTCAAGGAATTAAGAAATCTGGAACAAAAACAAAGTGATTTCAGATAGGAATCCTGGAGGGTAAGAAAGCTCCCACAACCACTTTACTCTAAAGTTACCAGCTAATTCTTAGTAAGCCTGATGTTTGTTCAGCACATTGAACAAGAATGGGAGATAAAGTTTAGGGTCAGCGCAAGGTATAGATTTGCACTCCAAACCTCTGACAAAAGCAGTAAACTCCTCAGAGTAAGGGAAAACAAGAAACTATCCCTTCCCTGTTTTTAAAGTTTACTTATTTATTTTGAGAGAGAGAGAGAGAGAATATCGCAAGCAGGCTCCACACTATCAGCATGGAGCCTGACACAGTACTCAAATTCTCTCAGGAACTGTGAGATCATGACCGGAGACAAAAATCAAGAGTCAGCCACTTAGCAGACTGAGCTACCCAGGCACCCTGAAACCATCCCTTTTTAACAAAGAGGTGGCAATCATGAGGGGAAGAAAAACCTCCTGAAAATGGACAGATCTAAGTACCTTTCATTTGGTTGTAGGGCCTAACTCCACATTAATCATAAACCCCTCAAGTGGAAAATTTTATCCAGAGTGGTCCTAAGGGCTGTAGTCTTCAAGCATCTTCAACAATGTACCACAGGCAAATATAAATCCTATCTGGAGAACTGACACGTCAATCCATCCCTCAAAGAATTCCTACAGGTAGTAATTCAATAAAAATAAACATCTCTAACCCCCACAACTATGGAAGATAGGGAAAATAAGAATCAGCAAATCAGACAATTAGCAAAATCACTCCTATAAAATATCAGACATTGGAATTATCAGGTGAACAAAGAAAGAAAATTAAGGCTTCAAAATATCTTCCATATGAACAAGGAACAGGAGACTATGAAAAGTATCCAAGCAGATCTAAAGACACAAATGGAGTTTCTAGAAATGAAAAATAAATAAAATTTAAAACTCAGTGGGAGAGTTAAATAGGCAAGTAGAGGGAGATGAAGATACAGAGTTAAAAAGAGGAGACAGCAAGATGGAAAGTGTGAGAGAGGTCAAGAAACATGAGAGATGGACTGACTTGCAGTCAGAGAGGAGAATCAGGGTCTGAACTTGACCCCCTCCCCCACCATAAACAACTAGAAAACTATAAAATGTGCAAAACAAACATTTTCAGGCATTTGTAACAGGAAGTGAAGCACTGTGAACCCTGAAAGGGAGAAAAACAAATAAGGTGAGACCTGCACTTGCCCTAGCCTTCATCTAGGGGGCTATTTCCACGTTATAGCACAGAAAGGTAGGATCCAAACAGGGCCCAGCAGACTTGTTGATTTGAGAAGACAGAGCCTGGAGTTCAGAGGTCAAGATGGCTAGAATTTGCAGAGCAGAGAAAAAGCTCCAGAAAATTTGTTTATGAGAACAAATTTGTCCTCATATGGTTCTCTTTGGTCTCATATGGTGTTGAGAATACCAATCTTTGCATGCACAGGGCGGAATCCATAAGGCCATGCAAAGAACAAATTCTGGACAAAAAGCAATTACTGGGGAGCAGGGCTAGAGCACCTTCCCTCTAGGACTACTGGTTTAACTTTGCCACTAAGGTGTGACTCTTCTGGGATCCCTACTGAATACCTAGTGAATTCAAAGAGATATCTCCATTCTTTTTTTATTTTTTATTTATTTCTAGGAGAGAGAGAGAGCGTGAGCAGGGGAGGGTCAGAGAGAGAGGGAGACACAGACTCTGAAATAGGATCCAGGCTCTGAGCTGTCAGCACAGAGCCCGATGCAGGGCTCGAACCCACAAACCGTGAGATCATGACCCAAGCGAAAGTTGGACGCTTAACCGACTAAGCCACCCAGGTGCCCCATCTCCATTCTTGTTATCGGGAACGTGAGTGATCCTCACTCTTTATGATCTCTGGGAATTTTTTGGCTTTAGCTCCCAGTTGCAAGTGGGAGAGGGGCAGAGAGAGAGGGAAACACAGAATCCCAAGCAGGCTCCAGGCTCTGAGCTGTCAGCACAGAGTCTGATGTGGGCCTTGAATTTATGAACCGTGAGATCATGACCTGAGCTGAAGTCGGATTTTTAACTAACAACTGAGCCACCCAAGTGCCCCAAGAATTATTTTAAAACATACAAAGAATAAAAAGAGAAATGGAAGATTTGAAAAACATACAGAACTTGTAAAAATAAATGTTAAATTATGTGAAATACAAATTCAAATCATAGGATTAATAGCAACTTAGAGAATTAAGAAAAGATAGATGAACTTACAGACATGCCAACAGAAATGACTCAAAATAAAGCACAGGGGGAAAAAAAAAGAGAAAAAAAACAGTGCCTCAGTTAACTTTAGAAAAACATCAAGTGGTCTAGTATACAGGTAACTGTAGTTCTAAAAGGGGAAGATGGAGGCAAAGAAAATATGAAATCAGAGAAATGATGGCTAAAAATTTTCTAAATGTGATGAAACCCATAAACCTAGCAAACCTAAGAAGTTCAATGAACTCCCTGTAGGACAATCACACACAGAGAAAACATACATCAACACAAATGGTAATCAAATTGCTAAAACCAGTGTTCAAGAGAAAAACCTTAAAAGTAGTCAGAAAAAAAGACAATTTTAGTATGGAAAAACAAAGACTAAAAAGTTATCCTAGATTTCTCATCTGAAGCTATACGTCAGATGACCATGAATAACCTCTTTAAAATTCTGAGGAAGAAAAAGACAACATAAAACAGTATACCTACCAAATTATCTTTGGAAAATTGGGTCAAAATAGTCTTTTTCAAGTAAGCAGATGATGAGAAAATAAACCACTGACAAAACCTGCACTAGAAGATACGATAAAGGAAATTTCTTCAGCCAGACAGAAATGTTACACCTGTGAATTAAGTGTCCAAATGGTGAATATGTAAATAAGATTTTAATTTTCTTTTAAAACTAACTGTTTAAGGCAAAAATAACAATAGTTATTATGGGATTTACAGAGTACGTATTAAGTAAAATGAATGACAACAATAGCACAGTAAACAGAAGGAGAAAAAGGAAACAGCAAAATATATTTTTTTCACATCCTTTCCAAGCGCACATGAAACTTCATGAAGACCACAAAATTCTGAATCACAAAATAAGCCTAAACAAATTTTAAAAACTAAAATACAGAGTATGTTCTCTGACAAAAACAGAAATTAGAATAACAGAAAATTATGCAGAAAATCCTCCAAATGCATGGAAATTAACCATACACTTGTAAGTAACTGAAAAGGATAAAGAAGAAATCACAAGGATCAGCCCACAACAACATACTTTTTGCCCTGGATTAGAAGCAGGGGTTGGCAAACTACAACCCTCAGGCCAAATCCTGCCTGAATCCTGTTTTTGTAAATAAAATTTTACTGGAGGGCAGCCATACCCATTCTTCTACAAGCTGCCCAGGACTGCTTTCCCACTACAATGCAGAGCTGAGTAGCTGCAGCAGAGACCGTATGGTCTACAAAGCTTAAATATTTACTGAGTTATTACAGAAAGTACATCAGTTTACGAATCTCTGATTTAAAGCATAGATTTTGGTATCAGGCTGCCTAGGTGTGAACATCAGCTTCATCTCTCACTAATTAGATTACTTTCAGCAGTTATACAGCCTCTCTGAACCTCAGCTAACTCACCTATTAAGTGATAATAATAAAAGTGTTTCATAGGGTTAGTAAGAGAATTAACATATATTCACATACAAAAAAATTAATATATGGTTAATGTTACATAAATGTTTGCTATCACCATCATTGTTAATTTACCATAACTATAACTAGCTTTAAGAACCTATGCCCTCTACTTGTCTGAATGAGAAATGCCATCTATACCCAGTTAGAAACAGATTCTGCAAAGCAGAATTATTATTTAAACCCTTAAATGGGCAGAATTAATAGCTCCCATAAGAAATATAGTATATAGTTTGTTATAGGTCTCCATCAAACCACGCTGGCAGAAAGACTAAGGGAACAAGAGGAGAGGATTCACTTATCCTGAGAGTCTTGGGAATTAAGGGGTATCAATAAATATCTAGCTAAAAGAAATCTACCTACTGTGTAAAGGTTAAAATTTCACAAAGCAAGTAAAAAGTGAGGAATAGTCACAAGGGCACTGTCCTTTCTACTGATGCTTCTTCTAATTTGGCTCATCCTACACACATAGCAAACCACAATTGGCCAAAAGCTTTAAAACTCCGTGTATCTCCATAGAGCCTTGAAACATCCAGCTCTGAACAGATGGTTAAAAAAAAAAGAGAGAGAGAGATCTGGGAACACTTCCTCTGTAGCCCTGATAAACATGGCCAAAATCAACCTCCCTCAGCATAGGTTAACCAACAGTAGAGAGGATAAGGTAGAAATAACCAAGCCAATATGGCTTCCTCTCCTAGCTTTCTATTATTTTTTACTGTATCATGTTTTCTCACATTTACCCAGCCTGGGTAGATGAGAAAGAAGATAAAGTTTCCAGAAAAAGTAATGCTTTAACCGTATCTTGGAAGATAGAGGAAGAGGTGGGTAGAAAAGTAAGAGAAAGTGCCTTTCAGATCAAAGGACACCAAGGTTAGAGAGATCATGATGCCTTCAGGAAAAAGCCTAATTCAGGGTGGGCTGAGGGGAGGAATGCCAACTGGAAAGTGGCCAGAGACAAGGCTGGAGAAGCAGGCCACAGACAATAAAAGGTTTAACTGTGTCTTTTAATAGAGTTGGAATAAAGATTCAGTTTTAAGTGTATAATATGTGGTATATTTGTATGACATTCTCAGGGGTAGGCAGTATCTTGAATTAAGGAGAGAAGCTCAGCCACTGTTAACTGACATGCACATTAAAATCATGGGTCTAGATGATCACCTAGAGAGAATAAGTAAAAAGAAAAGAAGGCCACAGATTCCTAAAGAATTGTAGGAATTCTACATTTAAGAAGCAGACAGAAGGAAAGGCACCTTTAAAAACAATTAAGAAGTAAAAGTCAGAAAGGGAGAAAGAAAACCAGATAAGGAAGTCTCTATCCAGCTTCTCAAATTCTTCCCTGAACCAAGCAAAATCTTAATTTTGTCCATTAACTGAACTGGATTTATTAAATATTCTAGCACACTAAATACTCAAGTAAGAAAAATATGCTAATAGACACAGCTAGACGCATCCCATGAGTTCCTGCAACTGTGAACCATATTCAAATATGAACAATTATATGTAAAAGATGTTAGTACATGGGTCCTTGTGATCTCAGTGTTCATTACAAAGAACTAATTATCATAATGTTACAAAGTAAAATCACAGATTTTGCAAAAGATGCAGGACTTAATGGAGTAAATACTGGTAAAATCATACATAAAGCCATTAGAAATTAGGATCTGGCAGAGAAATAGAAAAAAAACTCAAGAATAATATAATAGGCACTTGAGATATGTCAAGATATCAAGAGACTGGTAAAAGGCACTTGGAAAAACCAGTAAACTCCCCTAACATTTTCACAAAAATTACTCTCTTGATAATCATGTGCCAAAAGTCAAAGGTAAACTATTTTATTTTGTACCATCACAATAATTGACAAAATTAGGTTAAAAGCTAACACTTATTCTTAGTTCATTCTGTAAATCAAAGCTGTAACTACAGCTTAGATTTTGTTCAACATGAGAAATGGTTTTACAGTGTATTGTAATTTCAAGATAAAGTATCAAATTTCCCTTCCTCCCACTTAGAAATTTTAGTCTGTGTTTAATGTGCATTTTTAAAAAAATGGTTTTTTAATGTTTTATTTATTTCTGAGAGAGCGAGCGAGCAAGCAAGCGTGAGCAGGGAAGGGTCAGAGGGAGAGGGAGATACAGAATCCGAAGCAGGCTCCAGGTTCTGAGCCGTCAGCACAGAGCCCGATGCGGGGCTCAAACCCACAAACTGCGAGATCATGACCTGAGCAGAAGTCAGACGCTTAACTGACTGAGCCACCCAGGTGCCCCTGATGTGCATTTATAGAAACAGATTTTCAGGCCTAATTATTCTCAGTAAGGCAGACTTCTCGTGTCAGAGCAGATATTCAGTCCATTTAGAAGAAAGCCTCTGGGAAAATAATATTCAGCACTACTATTAACAGGGAAATTCATTCACTGGATAAATCTTAATAGAGCACTTTATAAAATTCAAAAATCATACAATATTTCCTAGTTGATAGCTCCTAAACAGTTCTGATATTAGTGAAGTGATATGTCCTCAAATATATTTTTTAACTAAGGCATTTTCTCATTAACATAATTTCAAAGATACTCTTAACTTAATCTTCAGTTGGTAGCAGTTCCTTATAAGCTTTAACTGTATTTAAGATGGATGAATTCCTTCTGAAATATAAATAACTACCTCCTAAGTTCCATGTTTGGGAGGCAGGAGAGCATTGTGGTTAAAAACATGAGCTTCGGAGTGTGACTGACCTGGGTTTCCGCTCTGGCTCCATTTACTAGCTGTGTAACCTGGGGCAAGTTATTTAACCTCTCTAAGTCTCAGTTTCTTTATCTGTAAAATAGAGATAATAATAGTATCTATTTCATAGGGTTGCTGTGAGGATTAAATAAGATAATGCAGGCTCAGCACAATGCCTGGCACTTAGTATGTGCTCAGTAACTTTTAGCTATTATGTTTTTTATAAGCTTAAACTTTTAAGTAACACATTCTCATGAAGATCTGTGATAGTAAAATACATGTCCCCAAGGCTTTTGTTATAAGTTCTACAAAATAAACAAGATTAAAGGCTTTCAACTAGGAAAAGCTATGGGCATGACTTCTCCTTATATACATATATAAAAGAAATTCCTCAGCAATGTAACACATAACATTTAGAAACAGGAATTTCAAAATTAGGAAGAAAACATCTATGTTTAAAGTATACAGATACTTATAGTTAATACATTGTGAATTTCATAACATCTATGGTAAATGATTAAAAAAACTCATGTAGGTTTGTTTCATAAAATTTAATCTCCCATGAGATAGGTAAAGAATAATTCTCTTCCCTTTAAAAACGAAAATAAAATTAATATGAGAAAAGTAAGGGACTTGAAAAATAGCAAAACAGGACATGAATTAAGATTCTGTAATTGCCAATCACTGCTACAATAGTAATATTAAACCTAGAAGCATATTTTCCCCCCAAATGAAAGGTTCCAGTTAAGTCTTAAAGATCTCTTAACACACTCTTAACAGAAAGTCAGATTAACCTATGCTACTCAAAGAAGCTATTTCTTAGAGTTATAAAGTATCTGTCATTTTCAAGGGAACAAAACACAATGTGATTTGTTTTTTTAAAATCTCAACCTTAAAATTAATTTTATCAATTGAAAAGCAGGCAACTAAAATCTTTCTAAAAGTTAAAAAGATTTTTAAAGTCTAATTTTAACATGAAATTTTTAAGGACTATAAATTAACCACACCTGCAAAATTCAACTTCTTACCATTTCTTAAGTACATTTTAGGTATAACAAGTTCCATGAAAGCAAAAAAATTCTTGGCATCTTTATTTTTTTTAAATAATCATTCACTAGAAGTAGATAATTTGGGAACTGACAATTATATCCTTTGTTTTCAACTTTGGTGTATCAAAATAGCTCTTATTATAGGAACCACCACTTTATTTCAATAAAAAATGTAACTTTAACAGAACCTTTAAAATAACTGAAAATTAAAATTTATACAGATCTACTTAGAGACACTTAGTTCTTCAAAGATGTCTTCTATCTGTCTTACCAACATACACTACCTGAAAGTGTTTTATGTAAAATTTTCTAGGACAACTAGGTAACATTCTACTGAGTTATAATTTCTTTGGCTTTTATAATAGTATTGATTCAATTAAAAAGTTTGTGATATGTGAAATAAAGACTCCTTACTCTTATTTTTCTTATATTCATCAACTATCCACCCAATGTACCTCCAACCCTTGAACAAACAGGTACTTTTCATCAATTGCTTTCCAATTTAGTATTTGTAGACTTATATTATTTCTTGTAGTACACATTTTAAAGATGCAGTTTAGAAAAAGAGAAAATAAATCACATACCTGCCCGTCTAAGTCGAATGCTAAACAAGCTATACCATGTGTATGAGCTTCCTTTAGAATTGATATGGTCTGCACAGTGTATGAATCCCAAACACATATATAAGGTTCTTTCCCAACTTGTCCGGTTGCTACCAGTACTCGTTCAGGATGCAATGCAAGGCTGCAAAATAAATAAATAAACTGACTTAAAACTGTTTATAGAGCTTTTATAGTATTTGACATATGTAAGCTTTATCCATTTAAAATAATTTGGATTTAAAATAACTTCTAGGGGCACCTGGGTGGCTCAGTTGGTTAAGTGTCCAACTTCGGCTCAGGTCATGATCTTGCAGTTTGTGAGTTCGAGCCCACTTTGGGCTCTGTGCTGACAGCTCAGAGCCTGGAGCCTGTTTCTGATTCTGTGTCTCTCTCTCTGCCCCACCCCCACTCATTCATATTCTCTTTCTCAAAAATAAACATTTAAAAAAATTTTTAATAAAGTAACTTCTATAAAAATCCATACTGAGTTATCACTTAACTAGTGTATGTATATGATGAACAGATGATGATAGACTTCATAATTTCTGTAGTATGATATAATGTGTGTAAACTTTGCAAGAAAAGAATTCTCACAATGGATCAACTGCACCACAGCAAAAAAATTAGTAGCAGCTTTTCCACATGCCATTTTCTCGTTTGGCATGCATCTGTTTTTAAGCCCTCTCTCCTATTTACTCTTTTATTACATGACATTAGACAAAATCATAATGTCCAAAAATAGCACTTAGCAGCTATTTAACTGAAGTAATTGGTATATAAGTTTTAGGTATACAATATTTCAATGGAATATCTGTATTCATCTCAAAGTGATCACCTCCAAAAGTCTAGTTATCATCTTTTACCATACATTTGACTCCCTGCATCCACTTTACCCACCCCTCAAATGCCTACCCTTGCTGTAACCACCAATCTGTTTTTTGCATCTATGAGTTTGTTTTTATGTGCTTTGTTTTGTTTTTTGTTTTTTAAAGATTCCACATATGAGTGAAGTCATACTGTTTTTGACTTTCTCCTTCTGATTTAGTTCACTTAATACCCTCAAGGTTTGTCCATGCTGTCAACATCTTATTTCATTCTTTTTATGGCTGAGTAGTATTCCATAGTGTCCATATACCACACCTTCTTCATCCATTAATCCCTCGGTGCACATTTAGGTTGTTTCCATATCTTGGCTATTGTAAATAATGCTGCAATGAACATCACGCTGCATATATCTTTTTGCATTAATGGTTTCACGTTCAGATAAATGTCCAGAAGCAGGACTGTTCAACAGCATGGCAGCTCTATTCTCAACTTTTTGAGGACTAGCCATAGTGTTTTACATAGCAGCCACACTAATTTATATTCCCAGGGTTTTATTTACATTATGAGGGCTCCTGTTTCTCCACATCCTCTCCAAGACTTGTTATTTTTTGTCGATTTGATGATAGCCAATCTAACCCATACGAGGTGATATCTTACTATGGTTTTGGTTTGCATTTCCCTAATAATTAGTGAAGCTGAACATCTTTTCATGTGCCTGTTGGCCATTTATAGATCTCCTTTGGAAAAATGTCTATGAAGATCCTCTGGTCACTTTTTTAATTGACTGCTTTTTGTTAAGTTGTAGGAATTTTCTATATATTTTGGATATTAACCCGTTGGCAAATATATAATTTGCAAATATCTTCTCCCATTTAATAGGTTGCCTCTTCCTTTTGATAATGGTTTCTGTCACTACACAAAGGCTTTTTAGTTTGATGTAGGTCAATTTGTTTATTTTTTAAATATTTTTTAATGTTTGTTTATTTTTGAGAGAGAGCAAGCGAGCGAGTGCTAGCAGGAAAGGGACAGAGAGAGAGGAGACATAGAATCTGAAGCAGGCTCGAGGCTTCGAGCTGTCAGCACAAAGCCTGTCACAAGGCTCAAACTCACAAATCACAAGATCATGACCTGAGCAGAAGTCAGACACTTAACCAACTGAGCCACCCAGGCACCCTTCAATTTATTTCTGCCTTTGTTTCTCTTGTCTTCGGCATCAGAGCCACAAATACATTGCTAAGACTGATGTCAAGGAGCTTATCACCTGTTTTCTTCTAGGAGCTTTATTGTTTCAGGTCCTATATTTAAGTTTTTAATCCATCTTGAGTTAATCTGGGGGTACAGTATAAAATAGTGGTCTAGTTTCACTCTTTAACATGTGGCTGTCCAGTTTTCCCAATACCACTTATTGAAGAGACTGTCCTTTCTCCATTTCATGTTCTTGGCTCCACTGTCATAAACTAAATGTCCATATATGTGGGTTTATTCCTGGGCTCTCAATTTTGTGTCAATGATCTATGTGTCTGTTTTTATGCCAATACCACAGTGTCTTGGTTACTATAGCACAAGTATCATTTCAAGAAACAGAAAAGTCACCCATAGTTCACAGAAAGTAGTCTGAGTCTGTAAAAACAAGACAAAGCCCTAACAGTTGGTAATGGTTTATGTACATCAGCAGGAGACAGGAAGTAAATATAAATTTCTCCTTCATAAATTTTTTCTACAAATAGATTTAGATTATGAGATTCACCTTTGGGAAGAAAAAAGAAAAATCACTCCTGGCCTAAGAGTGAAGGAAGAAAGTGGAAAAAGTTAGGAGGGTCTTAGGACAGAGTCAACTAATTGGATGCTGTGAGTAAGGGGGGAAAGAAAGGTCTAAGATGACTCTTGGGCTTCTGGACTGAGCATGTGGATGGCTTAGATGGGATTCATCAAGTCAGGGAATACTAAATGAGTAACCAGTGGAAGGGAAGATAAGTAGAAATGGAAAGTTGTTCAACATATAAAAGTCAACCAATATATCATAGTAACAGAATAAGTCAATCCAAAAAACAGAAAAGTAAAAAAAAAACACAAACACACCCATATACATTAATCTCAGTAGACACAGAAGATGCATATGACAAAAATCCAACACCTTTTGCGATAAAAATACACAATAAACCATGAATTAAAGAGAACTTACTCAACCTGATTAAGGGGAAATCTATGAAAACCCACAGCTGTTTTAAACCACATTTAATGGTGAAAGCCTGAAAGTTACTCCTCTAAGTACAGGAATAAGACAAGGATGTCAGTTCTTGTCACTTCCATTCAACATGATACTGGACATTCTAAACAGGAACAATTAGGCAAGAAAAAGAAACAAAAGGAAGAAGTAAAACTATCTCTACTTACAGATAACAGTATCTCATATAAAGAAAATCCTAAGGAATCCACAAACAACAACAAAATAAATCCCAAGTAGAGCTAATAAATGAGGTAAGCAATGTGGTAGGACATAAGGTCAATATAAAGTATCAATTATATTTCTATACACTAGCAATGAACTATCTGAAAATAAGTTAAGAAAGCAATTTCACTTATGATAGCATCAAAAGCAACAAAACCTTTTGGAATAAGTAGAAAGATATACTGTAATATTGTTACAACAGGTTATATATAATATTGTAATATTGCAATTTTGTTAAAATAACATTACTTCCTAAATTGATCTAGAGTGAAAACAATCCATGACAAAATACTAGTTGCTTTTCCTAAAGAAATTCACAGCTGATTCTAAAACTCAAAATATTCTTGAAAAAGAACAAATTTGGAAGATTCACACTTTCCAATTTCAAAACTTACTAACTTACTACAAAACTAGAGTAATCAACATAGAATGGTACTGGCATAAGGACTGTGCAGATCAGTGAAACAAAACTGAGAGTACAGAAATAAATTGATATTTATGGTCCATTGACTTCCATCAAGATTATTCAATGGGACAAGTGATGCTGGGACATCTGAATATCTACAATGCACAACAAAGAATTTGGACCCATACCTTAAACCATATACAAAAACCAATTCAAGAGCTAAAATTGTAAAATTCTTAGAAGAAAACATAGGCATAAATCTTACTGACCTTGGATAAAATAATGGTTTCTTAGGTATGACACAAAAAACAGAAGTGACAAGCGAAAAAATATGATGGACTTCATCAAAATTAAAAACTTTTGGGGGCACCAGGGTAGCTCAGTTGGTTGAGTGTCCGACTTCAGCTCAGGTCATGATCCTGCAGTTCGTGAGTTCAAGGTCCACACCAGGCTCGCTGCTGTCAGCACAGACCACTTCAGATCCTCTGTCTCCACCTCTCTCTGCCCCACCCCCACTAGTACTCTCTTTCTCAAAAATAAGTATTTTTTTTAAATTAAAAACTTTTGTGATTTAAAAGACAACTATCAAAAACATGAAAACACAACACACAGAATGGGAGAAAACAACTGCAGAGCACATACTTGATAAGGAATTTGTATCTATAATATATAAAAACTCTTTTGACCACATGAAAACCACAAATAACCCCATTTTTTTAATGGACAAAGGATGTGAATAAACAAAGACATACAAAAAGATGCTCAACATCATTAGCCAGTAGGAAAATGTGAATGAAAATCTCAGAGATATACCACTTCCATGACCAAAAAGGCAGTATGTACGTGTGTGTGTATAATTTATGTTATTATATCAAGTACTGGCAAGGATGTGGAGAAATCATAACTTTCAGATACCACTTAGAGGACTGTAAAATGATACAGCCCCTCTGGAAATGGTTCGGCAATTCTTCAAAAGCTAAACATTACCATACGATCTACTAATTCTACTCTTAAATTCCCAAGAACTGGAAGCACGTGTCTACACAAAACTTATACACAAACATTCACAGAAGCATTACTTATTATAGCCAAAAAGTGAAAACAACCCAAGTGTTCCTCAACTGAAGAAAGGATAAACATGGCATATATCTATGCAATGTAGTATTATTTGGCAATAAAAAGGAATAAAGTACTGGGACACCTGGGTGGCTCAGTCAGTTGAGTGTCCAACCTCAGCTCAGGTCATGATCTTGCAGTTCATGAGTTTGAGTCCTGCACTGGGCTCACTGCTGCCATTGCGGAGCCCCCTTAGGATCCTCTGTCACCCTCACTCTGTCCCTCCCAGCTCAGGCTCCTTCTCTCAACAAATGAATACACATTTACTTTTTTAAAAAGAATAAAGTACTGATACATGTTACAACATGAACCTTGAAACCATTTACATTAAATGAAAAAAGACAGA